AAGTTGCTTACACGAATTCTAATATTGTTTTGTGAAAAATCAATTCAGCATCCCTGTCCCATGAGAGTCCTTATGCTTCTGGGTACATTGGGGGCTTTATCATTTGAATCCTAGGACCGCATAAATGCATCAACTGAAGTGACCGTTTTTGGGCCTGAACATTGACAATATTTGGCAGTATGGTCTAAGTATTTTCATTGCACATCCTGCAGAGGATGCTGAACTGACCCCAATTCTACGTCTGGGAGCTGGAGCTTGTGCTGGAATAATTGCCATGTCTGCAACTTATCCGATGGATATGGTTCGAGGCAGGATTACTGTACAGGTGCTTTTTAATTTTTTAATCTGTTCCTCATATAAAATATGGCTTTGTATTTTCCAGGATGGTGGCTTCTAAAGTATAGAGATAATATTTTCTTGGTGCTGCAAATTGAACTGGATAAGAAATGTTGATAAAATATGTCCATCTTCCTATATTCTCACTGTTCTTCAGCAAATTTTTTTTTAAAAAATAATTTGCAGACAGAGAATTCCCCGTACCAGTACAGAGGAATGTTCCATGCTCTTTCAACTGTGCTCAGGGAAGAAGGTCCACGTGCTTTATACAAGGGTTGGCTTCCTTCAGTCATTGGAGTCGTGAGTAATTTTTCCATAATCTAAATTGTTCCTTTGGTCAAACATTTATGGCCATGGTCCTAACTTCATATCAAATCCAATTATTGTACTTTTTCTAAACATTGACTTCATAGGAAGCCCTGCTTCACTTTATCTTCCCCACCATTGTGCCCACCAGCTTCATGGGGGGTGTCTGTTATGAAAAAGCCCTGAAAAGAGGGATGAGTTGGTTTGTTGCAGCTGTACACTTTTGTTTTGATTTTATTATTCTTGAATATCCTATTGGATGCAACTGAATAAGAGATCAAATTATAGTCATATGGATTCTACACCTGGCCATCTATGACCTGTTGATGAATTTATATCTAGACTGAAGACATTTAGGGGCAATGTGAGCGAGGATTCATGAGAATCCCATACCAACATTGGGATGTTACTATGAATTTGACATAGATATTTACCTTTCAGCAACGTAACCTGATTATTGCTTTGAGACTACTTCTCAATTGGAAAGGCTTTGCTTAATATTGGTGGAATTGATTTATTCAAGAAATAGAGACCTGCTATTCTGTAAAGTTTCCTAAATTCTCTAGAATTTGCAAGGAACCTATCTAGTATGATCTAGAAAGGCAACTAGGCAGCAGTGGTGCCAAATGCAGGATCAGTTGTATCACAATAGAATGCTGATTGCGTGCTTCATAAGTATTATTGACATCGGAGTTCTCTTTTTTTTAAACTTCAAATAGAATCTCTCATTTGGATCCTATGATTGGATTTCCTTTTCATACTGTTTTCTTTTGCAGATTCCTTATGTTGGTCTCAACTTTGCTGTGTACGAGTCTTTGAAAGACTGGTTAGTTAAAACCAAACCATTTGGTATAAGCCAAGATAATGAACTGGGTGTGACAACACGACTGGCATGTGGTGCTGTTGCTGGAACTGTTGGACAAACGGTTGCATATCCACTCGATGTCATTCGCCGAAGAATGCAGATGGTGGGTTGGAATCATGCTTCTTCTATTGTTGCTGGCGATGGCAGAGGGAAGGCTCCTCTTGAATACAATGGAATGATTGATGCATTTAGGAAAACTGTTCGTCATGAGGGATTTGGAGCATTATACAAGGGTTTGGTTCCCAATTCTGTAAAGGTTAGTCTGCACCTAATTCTCGTTCTGCCCAAGTGCAGGGAAAACTGTCTTGTCTAATTGTCTAAATGATTTTACTTTCCGTAGATCTTATCAGAGCAGGGCAGGTTTTCTTGAAAAATGCTACAACTGCTCACTGAAAAACTTTTTGTGACACTTGCATGTGTCATCCAGATCATGTCTTTGTGGGATTCCCACCAAGTATTTATATCGATCCCAATGTTTGTCCTGTTTCGAACTGTAAAATAACAAGCCTACCTGATGAACCTAAATCAACTAGTTTAGTAGTTATAATTATATCCAATTGTTTTGAGTGTAATATTGGTGTGTCTTGAACTAATTACTGATGTTCTCATTCCAAATCATACTGGTGAAATGCTAAGATCAACTATGCAGACACATGTTCTAGGCTTTAATTTATTTATAAACCTTTTTGCTCAAAAGAAAAAAAAGGTTTATTTATAACCCTAGCTGGTGCTGTTTCAATTGAGATCACAGGATTGTTTTGTAATCACAAGACTTAAGATTGGCTGCTATTAAACTTTCATTGGTTGTGGTCCAAAACCATGGAAGACTGCTCACGTGCATGATACGCTATTATTCTCAATCCCCATTTATAGAAGTCATCGCATGCAGTATGATGATGAACATGATTTTGTTCATGAATTTATATTTACCTGATTTGTTTTGAGGGTTTTAATCTTCCTTCATTTCAAACATTATTTTGATTCACTTGATGTCTTGCAGGTGGTCCCATCTATAGCAATAGCCTTTGTTACATATGAGGTGGTGAAGGACATTTTAGGAGTGGAGATCAGAATATCAGACTGAAGGTTTGCTACCTCATGATGAGTGTTCGGGTGTGGTGACTTTTGCGGGCAAGGGGATGCAGAGAGATGGTAAATTAGGGTTGTTTTCTTCTTCGTTTTCATCTCTCCAAGTATGAGTTTAGGGAAGCTCGAGCTAGTGTTTATAAATCTAATTCCCTTGTTTCTTGTATTTCCTTGTGAACATTGTGGTAGCTTTTAGCATCTCATTCATCTTCCATGTCAATAAATGTTGGGAAGGTTCAATGCAAGGACATATCTGCAGGGCTTTCTACAGGAATCAAGAAAGCATTTTTCTCTCTGGAATATGCAGTGACTGATTCCTCGTTCCTCTTCATTACCCCGACAAAAAGAATGCACTGTTTGCTGCTTGTAGGAAGCATATTTTAACATACTAATAATGTGATTTTATATTCTATAACCATTGAACATGGGTTGTTCTGCCATAAGAGAAATGAACATATTTGTGGTATTTATGCTGCAATGTGACTGGCGAGATTGTGTTTCAATTACGAGGGTGGATGAATTTGCATGAAATCCTCTCAGGGAGGGTTAAAAAAAAACAAAAATACAGCAAGGATAGGCATCCACTGGGCTTGCTTTTTTTGTTTTAGTGAGCATGCATTTAATACCCCCTCCTCCTCTCTAGTTAGATTATCCTGAGAACTATATTTTGGATGAAGTCAGGAAAGCTGTCTATTTGGAATGAAATTGATCATCACTATGAAATTGTTTGGCAAGATCTTAAGAATATTGAAAAGCAATTTATTATTTTAGGTGTGATTAAATGGAAAAATGGTTTTGAAAAGACAGTAATGTGGTGCAACCAACTTTAAAAAAAAAAAAAAACCACTCAAATCTGGTCCTCAATCTACTGGACTTTCAACTATAGACGGAAAACAAAAATCTGGTAAATTTGCGAGGTCTGTTTTGATGGGTTCAATCTGTTGGAGTCCATAATTACTTGATCCAAAAATTCCACCTCTGGCCTCTGGGGAAGGTGGAACAAGATCGAGGAGCTGAAGACGAAGGAGGTATTTCATGGCCTTGTTGCCGGCCCTCAAATCTATGCCTAGTATTCATCCGATCCGTGCGGGAGGCCTTCCTAGTTCGCATTAATGCTTTTTTAACCATGTTGACGAAGGTTCTGGAATTTATTATTAACTGGGAAAATTATTATGAGATCTCATAAAGAAATACAATTACCAAAAAAATTTCATAGAAGTGACCACCAAGAATTTATTGCCATTTCCTGCACTTATTGCCAGCTGCTAATGTTGCATTAAATGGGATTAGCTCAATTTAAAGGAGGTACGTTTGGCTGTGAATGCATGTTGAATCCGCCGACTCACGTAAACGCCAGTGTGGTCATGGGAGGGGCCACGCCATTATGCCGCTTTTAATATCCCTCTTGCACGTGACCCCCGCCTCTTGTAGGACCCTCCACTTTCTCAATTTACATTCTTATCCTCACCTCCCCTGGGCGCCTCGTGGTAGAACACATTTTTTTTTGAAAAAAATGTTTTTATAAACTACACCTTATACAGATATGAATGGTATAACTTGATTCTTTTTCACACTTAATGAATTATATGATTAAATTGTGATCAAATAAGAGTTGGAAAAGCAGACTCATGAAGAAGCTTGGTTTTATCCCTAACAATTCAAAGCTCTGTTGGTCAGAAGATTACCAATAAAAACCATAAATCCACAATATTTATTAACCCAACGAAAGTTCTAACAATTAATAATAACCCTTAATCAACTTGTTGAAAGGAATTAAAGAGTTTACTATGCTAAACTAATCGATCACATATGTTCATTTTTTTAAAATAGTTAATGTTTCTGCTAACAGATTTATTCAGATAATGCATGATGTGAATATAAATCAAACAAGGATAAAATGTTACAAAGAAAATAATAAAAATTGCGCTTATTCATTGGATTAATTTATCTACCGCTCATGGAAGTCAAGTTCATTTTTCATTAAAATCCTTTAATAAAAGTTTCGTTTTAGAGTTCATGTGATGCTTCAACACGTTACAGTGCCCACATTGAATGGGATCAAGATTTTAGTTCCCAAGCATACAAGGGACTCTCTTCATATTGATGTACTGGGATGAATTCTTGCTTTCTTAATTTATTTAAAAAGGTGGTATGGAGAATGGCATGACCTGTGAATAAAGAGAAATCCTTGACCTTTATGTAGAGCCCAGAACTGTGTTCGTGCATACAAATTCCAAATCCAGAATAATTCCAAGCCAAGAGGGTCCTGCTGGCTGACGGCCACGGAAGAAGAAAATATCGTGGATACACTTTTCACCTCAGACATGAACATTACAAGAGTCACATTATTCAAAAAGAAATTTTTTTCACGTCCTCTACTAAATTGTGTCTTTAAATATCTTCATCTAACATTCCCCAAGTTTTGCTTTTCAAGTCCATTACTCTCAGTTCATGTCTCTGTTTGGTTTCATAATCTTGCTTCTCACTACCGTCCTTGGGAAGAAGATATTTTCCCTTGCAACTCTGGTTAGCTGGTGATCCTCTTCTTTGTCTTCTTCTGCTCTTCGCTTTATGATCTGAACTGTCATTGTTACTCTCCCTCACTCTCTACAGCCTTATCCATTGGTAGTACTTTTCTCTCTAATGCAATTCCTGGTGTCTTTAGGCACATCTTTGATCCTTTAATGGTGGTATCTTTTTGATATTACTGACTTTCACTTTTGGTAATTACTTGTTCTGGGCTGCTAGAAAATTATGTTTGGATGAACTGTTCTTCCATGTGCATGATTTCCTTCTGATGAGGGCAAAGTGGTTGAGTTCATCTTTTGGACGTGCATCGTGACCAGTTTGTTACTTATTACTCAAATATTAGATTTACGCATTTATAGGTTATTTCGACCTTAGGAATAGGAACATTTTGCACTTTAAATGATCATTCAATTTATTGGTAACTTGACTATTATTCGAGCTTATTGGAGTTCATTGATTAGATCTTGTTTCCAGATTAAATTAACTTAGTTGGAAGGAATATGCTTGGATTGGAGAATCGAGGAGATGGAAATGTTTGATATAGATTTAAATCGTGGGAAGAGTCTTAATTAAGCATTCTGTTCCCCTCAATTCAAAGATACGGCTAGAAAATCATTAAAATATTTATTATTCTCAAACTGAAGGCAGGGATTCTCAAATATACTTATTATAAATCGTCTGACGTCGAACTTTTCCCATGCTGAAAGCCTACTGATTTTTGTACCTGCTGCAAACTTATTAATCTATATTTTCTGGTGTAGATTTAGTTTCTTCGGCTATTTATTCAGAAAATCTTTGGAATTTGGCGAAGGAACCATGTTTGGATTGCATGTATTGATGATTACTAGGAGACATGGCTGCAAATGGTGGGAAAGGGACTGAAGAACAGAAGAGGAAAGCTAGTGATTATTTTGGGGCTGAAACATGTCAAGTTCACCAAGAATGAGAACATCTGCGAGGAAGGATTGGCCAGAGAGCTTTTTGAATGGCAATGATATCGGTAATGAGGAGAAGCATTTGGATAGGTGCCTTACTTCCTTGGCTGGGTCTGGACCTCATAGTGCTGGTTTATGTTCTACAACAAGCAATGGGTGCATTGTTGAGGAGTTAACTTTTAGAAATCATAGGAACCCGAATTCGGCTTTAGTTAGTCATACACTTAGTTCCAGACTGCCTCAGATAAATCAATCAGGTAACGAATCTGAATGTGTGAACTCAAGTAGAGAAACTGCACCAAAGGATGAAGAAAATATATCCGACAGGCTAAGCAAGGAAACTAGGGGAAATGCTTCTAATTTTTGGAGCTTGAAGTCTTTGTCCAGTAAGAAAATGAATTATGACCCAGAAAAAATTGCTGAAAATATAGGTAATGGGGACAAGACGATGACTTTAAGCAATGCACTTCTTGTTAGCACTGCCATGCAGGACACTTCATCTACGTACAATTTTTCTCCATTGGTACTGAAACAAAAACTGAAGGGAAAGGGAGTTGTCTGCAAAGATGCAGCAGACAACAGTGTTGAGCCCCATGGAGCATTTATTGGAAAGGAGGATAAAACACCTGCCTTTATGGCTAAATCTCATTCTGATACACTGCTGAGACCTAATTCTGCTGCTGCTGATAAGCCTTTGCAAAAATTTGTCATGTCCAGTGTAGAATCCTCCAATAATGGGATCAACTTAAGAGAGTTGTTGATTTCTTCGGGTCATAAAATTAGTAAACAAGGAAGACTACATATTTTCAAACAAATCCTGGAATTTGTCAATTTTGCACACTCACAGGGAGTTGTATTGCAACACCTAAGACCCTCTTGTTTCACTTTATTGCCTTCAAATAAAGTTAAGTACACTGGTTCATTAGTCCAAGGAGAGTTATATGATGTCCCAGCATGCAATACAGCTAGGAAAAGGCCCATGGAAGAGGATTTCTGTTCATGCCTTAGTTTGGGTGCAAAGCAGCAAAAACTCCACGAGATAAAATCTATTGGGCAGCGGCATTGCTTTAGATCTATTTGTGCCTGCAGGACTAAACCAGTGAATCTTATTGATTCCTTCAAAACTGGATCAATGGGCCCATTAATTACAGAAAGTGTGCAGCCAAATAGTTTTAGACACCAACATTCCACAGATGAAAAGCAAATAATTGACGTGACTGCCCAGTTGGAAGAGAAGTGGTATTCTAGCCTGGAAGTTCTCAATGATGGAGGCTGTACATTTTCATCCAATATTTATAGGCTTGGGGTTCTGCTCTTTGAGGTACGGAATCTTTTTTTTTTTTTTTTTTTGAAAAAAAACCCTTGGCTCCTATCATAAATCTGAATCTTGTGGTACACCTTCGTGACCAAATAATTTTCTCGAATTTGGTTTGTATATTTGCTGTATTTATAGCTTATGTTCAGATAATTTACTTTCCCAGTTTGCTAGATGATGTTTTATGGAATTTCGATTGTCATGACTTATCAAGGGTGTTTCCAAATATGACAGGTCTATTTGATGTATCATTATATTCCTAAGCTTGTTGCATATAATGCAGATTAGCAAGTGCTTTCTGGTTATGGTGTTTAATTTGAACTATTCTGGATAGAGAAATGGTTCTTTTATGCTATTCTATCGGCACTGTTTGGAAGCTACATACAATCTGAAACCTTATCCAAGTCTTTTTGTCATACAAATGTCAACTAAGTAAGAAAATGGTTTGGATTACGTGAATCTAAAATGAAAACTTTACAAGACAACAGGTTTCATCTCTCCCTGTTGTGATGATTTTACGATAATCTTGCAATGAATAAACGGGAGAGAATGCTTTGGGAAACCTTGATGTGCGTAGGGATCTATTACAAATATTTATAGGAGCGTAAAAGCTGTATGGCTTGAGATTCTACTAATGCGAGACCCGTTTGACTAGACAGAGAGATGAACTAATACTATTCTAACAAATCACTTGACATAGAAAGGAATGAATGGAGATACTGAATCATCAAAAGCCAACATCTTTTAATTTCACGACAAAAGGGGGAAGAAGATTTAGAAGTTCCATGGAAAGAATCAACTGAAAGTGAAAGGCCATCCGTTAAGTTGTTTGCAAATACATATCTGCAGTGCAGAGCTCTACTTAGTAGAACTTCTTAGATGTAATACAGAGCTCCATTTAAATGCAAATAGTTTGCAAAGTAGTGCAGAGCTCTACTTAAATGTGACAACCTTTTCTCTTACTTATTCCAGTTTCAATGCAGATCATATTATCCGATAATATATACCTCCCAAGCTGGAAATCATCAAACTTTGCTTTACTTGCTTCTTTCTCGTGTCTGAATTTTCCCCTAAACAACGGTCAAATAGGCAAATGTCTTGAAGTCTTTTAATTTACCCACTTCTCAATCGTTGAATTTTGTTAGCCATTTCTGTCATTCTTTTCAACTGTTAAGATCTTCACCCTAGAAGCTCTTCATGATCTTAGCATAACTTGTGCTCCTCTCAGTTGCTATGCAATATTGAGTCTTGGGAAGTGCATTCAGAAATGATGTTGGATCTGCATCAGCGAATCCTACCACCAAAATTTCTATCTGAGAATCCAAAGGAAGCTGGATTTTGTCTTTGGCTTTTGCATCCTGAACCTTCTTCTCGTCCCACTACTAGGTAATGTAATGCACTACAGATTTTATATTTTGTATCATTGTCACTACCATCATCCTTTTATGGCTAAATGTTGAATGGTGTTTATGAAAACTCAAAATATCAAGTGATAAAATATAACTAGCTGCTGTTCTTTATACTGGGCACCCCTTTTCCTTGTTTATTTTTGTTAATGAGCATCTCATTGTATTAAAAAGCATTAAATGTAACAAGAAAGATTGAACTAGCATTGTTTCTGCTTTATCATCCTTTCAAATACTTCATTAGGTGGGTAATTAAGCATTTTCGTACTGTACAGCGTTTGTGCTTGCTGACTGCCCTCAAAGCAAATGATTATCATGTATTTGCTTTTCTTAGTATGTGTTGAATAATATTTGGTCAAAAGAATTTTGATTCTGATGTTAAAGGTGCATCCTTTTTTTTTTTTAATCAAATCTTTATGATTTTCCTTTTTTTTTTTTGGTATATTCCAGGATGATTTCGGAATCTGAAATATTCCGTGATTTAGTGAAATTGAATTCTCAAGATGATGATATCTTGGTGTCTGATGATGATGAAGCTGAAACAGAGCAACTGATATATTTTTTAACCTCACTTAGAGAAGGAAAGGAAAGACAGACTGCCAAATTAGCTGAAGAGCTAAGTTGCTTAGAAGAAGATATTAAAGAGGTTGAAAGAAGGTATTCGCTTGGGGCAGCTTCATTATTTCCTATGGAAAAAAATGGCTTTTCTAAATTCAGTAGAAACAGTTCTCATCTTCAAGATCCTTTCAGTTCAGATATTAGCAGATCAATTCAGGCATCATGTGTTAATGAAGCCAGATTTATGAGAAATATCAATCAGCTAGAGACTGCATACTTCTCCATGAGATCCTGGATCCTGCTTACAGAAGATGCAGCTGTTGCGCCTTATGATAAAGATGTGCTAAAAAGTAGATGGAGATTGTCTCAAGCACATAATGACAATGAGGAGCAAAGAATAAAACGGAGATCCACTGATCGTCTTGGATCCTTCTTTGAAGGTTTATGCAAGTTTGCTCGTTACAGCAAGTTTGAAGAGTGTGGCATATTAAGAAGTCAAGATCTTCTTAATTCTTCCAATGTAATGTGTGCATTAAGTTTTGACCGTGATGAGGACTACATTGCAGCTGCTGGAGTTTCAAAAAAAATCAAGATTTTTGATGTCAGTGCAATTTCCAGCAATTCTATTGACATGCAGTACCCCATAGTTGAGATGTCTAATAAATCAAAGCTTAGCTGTGTGTGCTGGAACAGCTATATCAAAAGCCATTTGGCATCTACTGATTATGATGGTGTAGTTCAGGTTTGTATTACTTGCATATTGACATTGATTGATAAAAAACCCTTTTTGGACCCTGCTTAATTGCTCAAACTTCATGGGCTGACTAATTATTTTGAAAATGGCTTATAAACTTGAGGTCATACAAATTTTATCTATTTATTTATTCTGCTGTCGGTAAATTACAAATTTTAGCGTAGGAGCGAAGGAATTAACGGCTGCTTTTAGGAACCTGAGCACAACTCTTCTTCTCAGCCTTATGATTGCTCTGCTGCGAGCTACATGTAATTGAGGCTTACTATCTAAATATCAGAGGTCTTCTCTGTCCACCACTAGGGGGGATGTTTATGGATCCCTTCATGAATAAATCTGTCAAACCCTTTGGCCAACATAGACATATTATACCAAGCAATTTAGGGAGTGGTTCTAAATAATATTCGCTTAAAATAACAAATTAGTATGTTGATTGAATTTTTAATGGTCAATATATCTTTTGATACTGTTGGAAGTCACTCCTTTAAACTTTCTTTCGAAAAGCAAAAAAAAGAAAGAAGAAATTCCTGAGATACGATGGTTCTACCTCCTAGACCTGGTGGAGTAACTCTCGAGAGACACGGTGGAAAATGTTAATGGAGAGTTGCATGAATGCCGCCAAGTTCTTGATCTCCTGGGCATGGTGATAAACTCTTGGAGGTTGCTTAGTATATACCAATAACAAGTTCAACGAAGCGGTGCATTTTGCCATATTTTGATGGTGTCTGCCTGAAACTTATTCCCAAAGCAAAGTGAATTTCCTTTTTTTCCTTTAGTTTTACTATTTCCAATTGTTTGCTTATGGTTACGTCTTCACCGAGATTACTTCTTTCTACACCTCATCATTTGTCATGTACATACAAAACTGTAATTCATTTTGTTAACTTTTTTCCCTTCATATCTATCATCATTAACAATTGACGTACATGGGTGAATCCAGATGTGGGATGCAGACACTGGTCAGCCATTTTCTCAATACATGGAACACCAGAAGAGAGCATGGTCCGTTCACTTCTCTCAGTCCGACCCTAAAATGTTTGCTAGTGGAAGTGACGACTGCTCTGTGAAACTATGGAACATCAGCGAGGCATGCTTTCTTTTATGCATAATACCTGCAAAAGACGTTCATCTTCATGTCTGTCATGATGAAACTAGACATCCCCTGAAAAAGGAGAAAAAGAAAGAAAGAAAAATATAAACCAGGAATTCCTTTAGCCGGATAGACATGAAGTTGAACATTTTCCCTCCACATCATATAAGAAATTACTGAAATGTAATTGTTTTTGCAGAGAAACTCCATTGGCACCATATGGAACCCCGCCAACGTATGCTGTGTTCAGTTCTCTTCTTACTCAACAAATCTTTTAGTTTTTGGATCAGCTGATTACAAAATCTATGGTTATGATCTTCGGCACACTAGAATCCCTTGGTGCACATTATCTGGTCACGGGAAAGCTGTCAGCTATGTAAAATTTCTGGACTCTGAAACACTCGCCTCAGCTTCCACAGACAGCTCTTTGAAGCTTTGGGACCTGAAGAAAACCAGCTCTTCGGGGTTGTCTTCCGGTGCCTGTAGCTTAACCTTTAAAGGCCATACTAACGAAAAGGTTGGTCACTCTACATCGTTATTGCCCATTTATTTATTTTCCTTTATTTGTTTGTCCTAATTGCTCATCTTCTCCATGTGCAGAACTTTGTGGGTTTGTCTGTCGTTGATGGATACGTTGCGTGTGGTTCAGAAACTAATGAGGTACAATTTTTTGAGTTTTGGTATGACCTTTATTTTGTTATCTTGTGGTTAGTCGAAAGTTAATTTTTGTCATGAAACCAGGAAGTCATTTCTTTGTCATGAAACCAGGAAATCATTTCTCTTTCCACAATTATTGTGGCCCAAAAATATACTAAAATTCCTTATCATAAAAGTTACGCATCCGCTATTTTCAGAGTGATGGAAAATGGCCTTTCAGTATCGCCTTCTATGGTATATGAGATATCTATTCTAACATTACTCAGCTTTCTTATCGCATATTTAAGGCAAAATTCTTAACAGTGTACCTTAATATGTAATTAAAGAATATGCACAATGCACAGGTACCCATAGTCATATCTCTTTGTGAAATAGCTTTTTCCCCAATTTTTCGTGAACCATCCCTTTTTTGGCTAAAATTATTCAATAAATGTGGCATGTTAGTAATACATAGAATATCATTGGTCTTCATGGGTCATGAGCCTAAAGTAAGGTGCAGATAGATTTCATCTATTCTCAATGATTAAGTCGTGCATAATGGTCCCCTTATTTAAATCCTTCGGATAATATACATAGAACGCCCCACCCTTTTTAATTGCACTGATAATCGAATTTGGGATAAACAAATTCTGATTCTAGTCTTTTTTACTACCTACCTTCCAGGTGTATTGTTATCACAGATCTCTGCCAGTGCCTATCACTTCTTACAAATTTGGATCCATTGATCCCATTTCTGGACAAGAAAATATTGATGATGGTAATGGGCAGTTTGTCTCTAGTGTCTGCTGGAGAAAGAAGTCTGGAATGCTTGTTGCTGCTAATTCAATTGGAGCTGTAAAACTATTGAAGATGGTCTGATAGGAAGTCAGGAAAGATGACGAATGGTGTCACTAAATATTACTGTGCGCTTATCAGCAGACTGGGAAAAGGCTGAATGAGGGTCCAATGGCATTGGTTCAAAGGAGCATGTTGGTGGATTTATTTTCAGTAGATAGTTCATCCTTTCTGGTGGTTGGTTCACAATATGCCATGAGGAACATTCACTCACCTAATTCATATAAGCTGCTGATCAACAAATATATGAAACATGTGCAGAGCAGGCTTGAACTGCATGACTGCTGAAACTGAAGCCTGTGAGTCTTTTTAACACTGTGACACTACCACTGATGCATCTAACTATTTGATCACTACAGTACGCTGGCCTAAGCAAAATATAGAAGCTTTTGATTCAACAAATTCTGATCTAGGGCCGACTTTCCTCGTCAACAAGCTGGGATACGAGGCTGACCTTAAATGCTTACTTGAAATTGTGAGTAATGCATATTGCTTCACAGCACAGCTCTACACCCTAATGTTGCATTCCGTTTGGGAAGCGAGAAAAGTATTGCTAACACCGACATCGGTGATTACTTTTGTGTTATGTTGTAATTCATCAAAGTAGTGGAAATGCATATCATCTGTGTCTTGCATTTACGCGAAAAGCTGATCATAGATTATAGAATGGTTAAATTATTACTTTTATTCTATCATTTGAAATTCTGCAACATTGCAATCCTTATTGGTTGTGATTCCTTTCTAATCGCTCAATAAAAATTCTAGCTCCCATTCATTGTTGCCTGAAAAGAATATCTTGCTAAAGATTGATCATGAATAAGATCCCAAGTCGTTGTCTTGACACATTTGCTCTTTGACATGTTGGTTTCTTTGCTCTTTTGTACCATTGTATTGAATTTTAGGGTTCCCTTTTAGCCCATTATGTGTTAGCAATCCCAGTTCTAAGCAGCTGACACATTTCTCTCACTCAACCCTTAACCCCCTCTTCTATATGTCCAATAATAGTCCAGGCTGCTTTTATTTCGCCAGAAGAAGAGTCCTACCAGAAAATTCCAGTTCAAGTGGAAAAAAAACTATGGATTACACATCCTTCAAATTGATGACAACTAAGCCAAAAGTATAAACAAAATGAGAGACTTTTATCTTATCTAAAGTGTATTTATTTCATCTTTCCTGCTTTGCATCTATTTGGTTGGATTAGTCAGTGAAGGCTAGGAAATCCATCAAGCATTGAATGAGCCTGGCTTTTCAACTATCTATTGGTGTGATTACAAGAAGGCAACCACAAAAATCTATACAACTACTATCCTTTTTCATAAGCTGCTTATGTCAAGAATGCCTATGTTCAAACTGGTAAAATTTCTGGAAGCAAGTTTAATTATGTGATCATAAATGAGCAGAAATTTGAGTATATAATGGTCAAACTGCTTGCATGGTACCCGAAGATCTCGTGTTGGTAAGCTGATATCTAAGGAAGCTCAGAATCTGAGACATGACAAGGAGATGCTCTTCTAATTCTTGAACTAAATGTCATTAGGTGGCTCCCTGAAGTCAACTTAAGACTTCGGGAACAAAGAGACACCCGTGGAGGCCTGTTCGATTGTCTATTTGTTGTAACTGCATTGCAAATCAATTGAAGATGTCAGAAAGCAATTATGTTTTTATTCAAATATTGAATGAAGAAGTTAATGCAAGAAAAGAAGGCAAGTCAGGGCAGCCTTTGAACGAATTCTTCTTTATACTGAGATGTCTACATTGCAGATGCAACTGAATTGCTTTCTCAGGCGCGAATGTATCCATATTATGTTTTTATTCAGTGATCATATCCAAATTTCAGGACACAGAATAGTCGGCACTGTATATATCAATTATTTCTTGCATGTTTTCTATGTATTTCTCCATTCAGTAGTTCTGTTTTCAAAATATTCGGTAAAATGAGGTCATATTCTGCAGTCGAGCAAAGACAGACTCCGTCGTTCAAACTGCTTCCTTTTGGCTTGCTGAAGCGCAGAATCCTCCAACTTAATGCACCAAAATTTAATACATTTTGAGTTTTCAATTAGGATCATAATCATTTGCCTTTCCCTGTTATCGCGCATGTTGACGTGCAATGCAAGCATCTTAATGGCTTGCTTTTCTAACTATTTTGGGGGGTTCTAACTAGTTCTTGAGGTTTGCATCCCTAAGGAACCATCGGGTTTGTTATGTCAGTAATGGACTACGAGGAGGTGGTCTATTCGTTTCATTTAATTTGAAAATTAGCTGCTTAAACATAATTAACTGAAGTATCTAATAACTTAATGGATATCTGAATAACATGAGCGAGTCCAAAGATAACCTGGTTGTTTGACGCCTCTCAAGTTTGTTTTCTTGGTTTGTGGAAGCTTTATAAAGTCCAGAAAAAGATTTCCTTTCCGCTGTTGATGGAAACGGTTCATCACCATAGGTAAAATGTTCATCACCACAAGCTGAAGCATCACTTCCAATATCAGAGCTCTCCCTAGAGCTCAAACTTATCTTTTCTTTCTCTATAACTCTGTAGGCAAGCATTTGAAATGGAATTTGTGATATTGGTGATGAATCAGAGCTCTCCCAAGAAGGAAACTTTTTCAAAATCGCCAATTCCACATCATAATAATCTACCAGAGGTACTAATGAATCTAGCTGGTTATTGCAATCAGGATTCATCACAAGAAACCGTTTAATGTAACGAAGAATTCTGCAGATGGAAGAGAAGCTTGGCCGTTGATTTGGGTCGGTATGCCAACATTTCTTAGTCAAGTTAGTGACATATTTTGGTACAGTTAATGGGAAAAGTGGTCTCTCTCCTCCTCTTATGTACTTGCTCATTTTGTCTCCTTGAAGGTGATTGTCATCAAAAGGGATTTTACCAGTTAGAAGCTCAAAGCAAACCATCCCGAAACTATACACGTCTGATTTTTCAGTGTACATGGAATTTCAGTACTCTCAGTTTGTTCTAGCTCTTCAAGAACTTCCGGAGCGTACCATACAAGTGGGAGGGTCCCATTTTGATTTGAAACTACTTTGTGGTTCAAATTCTTAACTGAAGATAGCCCAAACCCTGAGATTTTGGCATGCATGTACCCTTCTGAAGATGATCCTCTAGGTTTGACGACAATTTTCAAAGGATTTAGCTCTCCATGATATATCTTCTTTGAATGCAGATATCCCATTCCTCTAGCAATTTGAAGCATGATAGCAACTGCAACTGCAAGTGTGAACTTGGGCCATAAACCTCTTTGATGTAGGTGCTGAGGTTTCTGCTGATCAATTCCATTACCAAGAAGAACTCTTTCTTTCCGCTGTCAACAAACCCACAAAGGAATTCCATTATATTTGTGTGGGAAAGTGATAAGAGTGATGTGATCTCTGGCTCTAAAGCTTGAACATCCCCAGAAAACTGCCTTACCACAAAGCTTTCACCTAACCATGTAATCTCCTTGTACCGACCACTATTCCCAAGTCTTCGCCTTACCTGGTAGTCCTTTGACCCCAGCAAGATTGAGCTGGGCAGAAACTTATCCTCCATTGATTCCGATCCTTCTAAGTTCTTTAATAGCAGTTCTGTCAATTTCCTTCCTTGCCTTCTCAAACCTGTCATTCTCTTCTCCTGGATTTTGTTGATGATAAACCACCTATCTTCCTCCCAAACTGTCTCGTAACGGTTGCAGAAATCCTGAGAAATAAGATACCGCTTCCCAAATTTCGATTGGAAAAGATTCATGTCTATGTATTCCTTCCTGTACTTGTTTGAATTGATGATTTTTCTCCTCTGCATTTCATCCTGATCCCATCCTGATGTTTCCCCTGCAGACTCAATCGCTTCAACAATAATGGGAATGCAGGAGAGCAAGTTATGGATGTAAAGCTCAACACAATCTTTGTTCTAGTACAAAGTAATGGCTACGGCCCACCAGTCTTTTATTTCCAAGCACTGCTTAACGTAAGCTTCTCCTTCTTTGAATATCCTATGGATCTCCTTCAATGGCTGTTGAAGAAACTTCCACTTGTCATGTTTCTCTTCAAATCTAAGATTCTGTCTGATCTCCTCTGCAATTGAATCGTATGCAAAGGTGAGGACATCCAGCAATAGACAACGCTGTCTCTGGTTGATTTGGATGTTGTCTTTGAACACCATTAAAGCCTTAATGCTTCCTAGCTGCCGAAATTGCTCCGTGCCAGAATTAATCTAAGGCAGGCCCTGAAAACAATATGCACGAACAGCAAGCATCCAAAAGAAAGAGAAGTGAGTGAGTTTGAAGCATTGATACTTGACAAAATAATTTTCTACCATATTGTATCAAACACAACGCAACACAGAAATTTTTATAGATGATAAGTTATATGAACAATCTAGGACAAGAATTGTAGAAACTGACCAGAGAAGAACCGTAGTGGATGTATTGGCTAATCAATTTTGGGTCATTGATCCAAGATAAATTTCCTCAACTTGCTGAGAAAGATTAATCAAACCCAGCAAGTTGGTGATGAGAAAAGTGAAGAAAAATCTATGAAAAGGGTCTTTGATGATGTTGACCTGGAGGAAAGAATACTACAAAGCCCAACGTGAAGAAATTTTTCCGGAGTTTTCTCAGATTTTCGTTCAAGAATAGAAAGTTTCATGGAACGTGAGTGTCACTGGGAAGAAGCTGGTGGTGATTAGTGATGGACGACTTAATTGTTGTGGGCTGTGCCGCGAGTTTCGATACGTGACTTGAATTAACAACTTCACTAAAGGAAAAAAAATAAAATTTTGTTTTGACGAAGCTTGTGATTTATGTAGAATACATGCAACGAAGTTATTATTTCATTTATTTGGTTTTTGTCTCCGAACTTTACTGGGATTAAGACAACTCTTATAGATATTAAACACGTTTTTTAAATTAAATCAATTTCAAAAAAAGAAGAAGAGAAACTTCCTATCAAACACATTTTTTCCTGCGCATGTGCATGGGGCGTAAAGAAGGGGTGAATTATACTGTTCATCCTTCGCAATTTGCAAATGGCATCAGTCGTTTTTCCACTCATATTAAAATTGAAATCCAAACAGCATATATTTACACGTAAAACATTTAATTTATAATATTTCTGATTAAAGATTTTGATAGATTTCATGTGTCAGACTCTGTCTTTTAAGATTTTATTCCCAACACAACACACAATGAACACGCAATACAAGATAAACGATGCGTTCTCAGGCTCTAATTGAATCACTGTTTTACACTCAACTCGGAGATTTTTCTGTGCAGAGATCTGCAGAAGAGGAAGACGATGCAGTGGTACTTGGTCGCTACGCTCCTCACCATTCTCACCTGTTCTCAGGTTACTCACTGTAACCTCAATGAGAAAGTTATGCGATTTTCTTCTGTGAACTCTTTGTATGCATTCTCGTCAATTATGCATCTAACCCCTAAGCTTCTCCATTGCTGGTTTATATTTATTTTCATTGTTACTTTTTGTTTAATTTTTCATTGACATGGTGTGTTTTTTCCTACGCTTAATCTTCTTTACTGAATTATGTTTACTCTAAAATGATGCCAATGGAGGAATTTATCAATTGAGGAATAACAGATGGGAGGACTGAAGGTGTATGAATCATTGGTGCCCGATAAAAGTTAAGAATCCATCAAGAGGTTATTTGATTTTGATGTTTATCGTGGCAGGGAATATTGACGACACTTTCACAGAGTAATGGAGGGTATAAGTATGATTATGCTACTGTACCATTTCTCGCTGAGGTTTTTAAGGCAAGTTAATAAACTAGAGTGACAAATTATCAACTTTGTTTCGAGGTGCATGAAATTGATTGATGATTGTAGTATGGACATCTTTGTCTGCCAATATGCAGCTTGCAGTATCGACTGGTTTGCTATGGAAGAAATTTCAGAAGTCATCTCTGCCAAAGATGACTACGGAGTGGAAGACTGTGGCTCTGTACCCCATTCCTTCTATTATATATTTAATTCATAATAACGTTCAATTCGCTACCCTTGCCTACGTGGACACATCAACATATCAGATAATGGGAAATCTGAAGATCCTTACGACTGGAATACTATTCAGGTGCTTCTGTTTTAAAATTAAGATCAGTTTTAATGTCATTCTTTATTGTTGATGTTCATAGTTTGATTCTCAGTTATAGCTGATGTCAAACAACTTTCTCTAGGCTGTTCTTAGGCAGGAAGCTTTCCAACCTGCAGTGGATGGCGATTGTGCTATTAGCTGTTGGGACAACAACAAGTCAGGTGCCAAATAACAGACATACAATTTCAGTTTTCTTGGTTCCAATTGCTGAAATACCTGGAATTCCTTCATAATGTGCTGTAAAAGGATATTGTAGACTAAAATGTCCTCATTAATGTGTAGTAACTAGGATTTAGATGAACCACTTGTTTTAAAACTTTCTGACTCATTTAACCCGTGAAAAAAATACATGCAAATCTACGAAGCATGAGCAATCATGTCCATGGTGTGTGGTAGCACAGCACCCGCTCCCCCCCCCCCAAAAAAAAAAAAAACCCACAAGAAGAAGAAGAAAAATGATAAAAACAGATTATGATTGTGATAGTCATGGGAGCTGCCATGCCTTGAGGGGTTCCATGGCTGGAGGCCACAAAACCACTTAGCCATCATGCTCTTGGGGCACGGCTACCACTGTTGACTCCATTAAGCTTGAATATTGACCTGCATATGTATATATGTTATTGATATGGAATCTGTAACATTCTATATTGATATAGCTTAAGGGACATGGAGAGACTTCACGCGACTCCCTTTTCTCTGCACCAATTCAGGGATACATGTTAGGAGCTTTGTCTGCATGTCTTTCAGCATTAGCTGGTGTTTATACTGAGTATCTGATGAAGAAAAACAATGACAACTTTTACTGGCAGAATATACAGTTGTACACGTAGGTATTCTTTCATATGCATATCATGTGAAGTGTGTGTGTGTGTGTGTGTGAGAGAGAGAGAGAGAGAGAGAGAGAGAGAGATGCATGCACGTCTATGCTAGCCATTCAAACTACTTATTTCATAATCTATTTGTAAGTCCCAACTAATGTGTTCTGTTTGTTTTGAATATATGCTAACATAGGAGTTTCATGCTCTCTGTGTTTAGACTTAGATAATCTTTCATTGTCCCTTCCTTGAAATTGAGAGGAATTAATATCTGTGCTGTATTTTTAGAAAGTATTTATTGTGTATTCTTCTGTGAACTAAATGATTGTATATGTAGAGTTTGAAAATGTGATAAATAAAGCATGAGTAGTGTTGTGGCACTCAAGAAAATGAATATGTTTTTCACAACCAAATAATTGTGTTACCAGTACCTCTAGGGGAATAGATACTAAACTGAGCTTCTTTCTCCAGCTTTGGTGCAATTTTCAATATGGCACGGCTTCTTCTGGATGATTTCAGGGGTGGATTTGAAAAGGGACCCTGGTGGCAACGTATTTTCAATGGATATACTATCACTACCTGGATGGTTGTGTTAAATCTTGGGTCCACTGGTCTTTTAGTTTCATGGTTAATGAAATATGCTGATAATATTGTAAAGGTATCTCCATTAGTCTCCTATGAGCTTCTTTCTCTCGCATTTCTGTGAATAATCCATGTATTCAATGTATGTCTTGATGCAGATTTTTTTCCCAAAAATAAGGTTTTCCTTGTGAGCAAAAGAAGTGATTGTAATTTGAAACTGAATCAAGCATAAATTTACTGTGTGCAGTGCCTTCTCTATGTCATCAGTGTTTTTTATGCCCGCTCTCTTTAGGTTTATTCCACATCAATGGCAATGCTACTGACCATGACTGTATCAATATTTCTCTTCAACTTCAAACCCACATTGCAGGTAAATTTCAAGTCTATGTTATGTAATTCATCTTGGTGTTGGTAACTCGTCCGTGCTCTCCCTTTATTGGCTTGCAGATCACTTTGACCTTGGAAAACCACATGTGGATATAATCATATCATATTATTTTGCAGAATGGGCAAAGCTGTTTTTCTGTTTATCTGGTTGAGTTCGATGCCTTCCATTTTGTAGAATGCTTGGTTCAGTTTTTTTTTTTAAAAAAATTTAAATTCTTTATTCAAGTGTTGTGCAAATTTTTGTCTATGCTGTGTTTATTTTTTGGTTCATTATTGCTGGCTATTTAGTGTAAATAAATAGCCTTGTTTTTACTTTCGCTGTAGATTCTAGGTCAAATCTGAATCCGTATGATTCCTTGAGAATTTTAACACTCGTTTTAGTGGATGCTGATTCTGCGTTTCTTTCCCATTTCAGCTTTTCTTGGGAATTATTATTTGTATGATGTCTCTACACATGTATTTTGCCCCACCAAGTATGCTAGTGGATATGCCATTAACAGTAAGATCAGATGAAGAGAAGCTCATAGAAGCATCTGTTGATCGTAGAGCACGTCCTTGATGTTATACTCTTGGTAAGCCAATCTGTTGTATACTTGTATATAATTAATTTTACTTTTTGCCTTTTTCCTTTCTTTTTCCCCCCAATCCATATATACAGGATATTACCACATGATGTAGGGCATTATTATCTACGCAAAATGTGTAGAACCAGGCTAGCATTTGTTTGAAGTTTTGAATAAATTAGTAGACATATCTACAGGTAACTGCAAGAACGTTGCCTTGTCATCTACTCATCTTTAATTGGATTTGTTTTATAAATTATGTTTGTGCAAGCCTCTACTAGAAATTTTACATGTTTATATGTACCTTAGCTCAGTGTGGCCATTTTTGGATACTGAAAGTTGTGAGGGAGGGATAGTAATGAGTTTAGTTGCCTGCAGTTTTCCTATTTAATTCAGTGTTAATGGTTCTTTTAACTTTAATTATATGTTGCACTTTTGGTTGGCTTTGAGCCTTCGATTAGTTTCATAATGCTAGTCCTTTTACTCTTTATATAGTTTGAGAAATTTGTGTTGGTAACTACTGTTTGTAAATCACACCTGAAAGCCGTACATTATAAAGTTTGCTTCTTCTTTTTTCCTAAAATCTAAGGCAATGATAGCAAGTTTTACAGAATGTCATAGGCATGTACTCAAACAATCTAACAGAAAGTCAAGATAGTTTTGAATTCTATGCACTCCATAGTTTACGAAAAGGAAATCATTTGTACTTTGTTAATCAAGCAAATTGCTATATGTTTGTAAGATTTGCCCCGGACTAAATGGTAGCATCACCTGAGAATTGGTTCTACGTTTACATTCTTGCATTTTCCCCCATACTAGTTCATCTGCTTGTATGTAAACAATTGGAAGTTATGGTTTCCAATATTTTTGTTCATGGCTCTGCAGGGATTTTTAACCCCGGGCTTGCCCTTCAACTGTCCTGTGGCAGTCCTACAGTCCCTTCCAATTTCCAAATGCTTGGGCTTCCCTAAATAGCTCAGTTAAATTCTTGATGTATTGCCTAGTGCTATAAAAGCGGAGGGAGATATCGAAGAAAAAGTTGGATTCAACAAGAGTGCATAGAATGTGGTTTTGATGGAAATAGGATCTTGCCATTGGATTTGGTGAGTGTTCAACATCTCTTGCTGATATTGACCCCTGTGGCACAAGAAAGTCATGGCACCATATGTGGTCTGTATTTCTCTGTGGCCGGTTATTGTACACACTGCACAATTCTTCTTCACTAATTAATTTCATTGGTGGAGTTATTCACACTGGGATGAGAACCATTTTGTACAGTAGATGCACATATTGAATGCTTTCTGATTAAATTAGAAATTGCAGGTCATGTCCCACTTCGAAGGAGTGACTTTGTGGTTATGCAGTAGTGAATTAACTGTGTCTGCGTGACCATGTTTGTGGTTACATTAAATAGACAGAAGCTAGTGGTGCTGAATCAGCGTATGCAAGGTGGGAATTCTTTACCTCTCAATTTAGTGTGGTGAATTACCTTGTCTGGGGTAAATACCAATAGCGGAGGAGGTTTGGAAACCATTATGAGATTATATTGAAGAGGTTTTTACTGTTTGGGGAGAAAACAAATTTATGGATTCTGAGAGTATTTGCTGTTAGGTGAATCCAACATGGAAAGTTAGTTGATGGTTGTTAAATGTATTGTGCTGTCTTAATTAAGTCTTGTGTTTATCGTTGTGTCAGGTGGGGTAGCCTCCATAAACTAGATGCTTCATGAGCCAATAACTGAGATTCTCTGCGGCTCCCGAAACTGTCAGTTTCAGAAAAATAGACCTAATATAATGTTTCGATCTAGAAGATTATAGACACTTAAGATTTTTGTGATCTTTTAGACGTTGTAAAGGTTAGTGAATAATACTACCTCCAGTCTTTAATATAAAACCTTGTTTGACTTTTATTTTGGTCTTAAATATGAGACCTTAATTCATTTTATCTCTCATATTTATGTATTTTTTTCCCAAAGCAGTCTTTCTAATAATGGTAGTTCTAACCCATAATCTTGATTAGCAAGGATATTTTAAGAAAGACAATACATATTTATTACAAACAACTAACTTAACTTATTTTTTTAATCTCTTTAAATCAGTTAACTAGCTTTTATAATTAGGACAAAAGGTAATAATATGAATATATGGTGTTATCAACTTCTCATTATGGAGTCTTCTGCCAATATGACTCAAGTATTTGTGATGCTCATGACAGTTCCTGCGAGTGTTGAAATTAACCGGAAGAATTGATGCCGCACAACTACCATATGTTTTCAATAGGATGGATTGCTTATAACTTCGTATATTCTCCATCTGATTTATTCATTTTTTTTCTGTAGCCCATATTTATTTGTGTTATTTCAAAGAATATAGTTTTTAAGAAATATTCTTTATAATTTTAATTTATTCCTCCAAACAATCTCTTTTGAATATTGCTTCGTGAAACATTTGTGATTATTTTGTGCATGAAATATAGCTCTAACACTTAAAAAAAAAAAGGTTTTGGGGCTGAAGACTCGATTAGTGGACAGATCATTCTAATAGGAAAATGCATTCAAAATTTCGAAGAGACCGATGAAAAATAAATTTTAGAGTTCCATTCCCTTCTTTAATTTGTTCGTTCTCTAATTATATTCAAAGAAGACATGATGCACTTGTAGCCTAGGTTTCGCCTTTCTAGTCCCTAAAGAAAAACACATCAATCCTTCCTAGTCAATCGCCACAAAAACTTGTCCTTTTCCACTTTCTTTCTATCCCTCTTTTCCCCATTCACATCCATTTTCCCCACTTTTTTTCAATTTGCATCCATTTAATTTTTTAAAATGCCAATATTACTTTCTTTTGGAGGAAAAAAAGACAGCATAATTGCGACTGCACAAACTGTAAAATCCGTCACAAGATTCTACTCTTATTATTTACATCGTTTGAAAGAAGAATTGACAATGACATGCTTTAAAAGGTTGAGAGGAAATGGAATTCTCTCCTCTTTGCTTCTGCATAGCTCTATAAATAGGGAACCCATTCGTCCTAACGAAGCAAGAATTATATAGGTGAGGATGAGATCAGAGTGAGACAAAGAAATGAGCATGAGTGGAAGAGGAGGAGGAGGAGGAGGGAGCAAGACGAAGCAGAGAAGAAGAGATGGAAGCGGTGTGGGGGAATCATCAGGAAGGGAGTTTCAGATGCCTCTGCACTATCCAAAGTACACCAAGGCTGATTACGAGACAATGCCTGAATGGAGACTCGATTCCTTGCTTCAACAGTACGGCCTCCCTCTCTCTGGTGATCTTCATCAAAAGCGACTCTTCGCCATTGGAGCCTTCCTCTGGCCTTACTCTCACTTCCCTTCCTCATAATCTTCCCACTCACTTCATTCTTATTCATACCCTTCCTCTCTTCTTCTTCTTCTTCTTGAATTTAGAGAAGCAAGTATTAACGCCCTCAGTTACAAACAGGATCAAACCCACAACCTCGTGCCGGCAAAAAAGGTTTTCATGTCACTACGCTGCACAATGCAATTGATATATGCTTTGTTATTTCATGAGCTTTCCATTGCAACAAACCCTTCTAGCTTTCATGGACTAAGGACACAAGTTTTGTATTATTGACCATAATCTGCATCATTTTGAATCGTATTCCGTGTTTACTTTTTGCTACTTTCCAGAGGCTAAAATACGAGAGTTCATGCGTGAAATGAATCTCGAGTGCTTATTAAAGTTAGAGCAAGTTTTGAAACTCAATAAATATTGAAGTTATTCATCAATAACAAAATTCAAACTCATGTTGTCGTGTGATATGATGAGTTGTATCATTATCGAGTGAATTAACGTTTTGTTTTTCGATTCCAATGTTGTGAAACTCCAAGTGAGAGGTGATTGGTGGCTGTTGAAGTTATGTTTTTTTTGCCATAAAAGTCAACTTTGATATCTTACGTTTTCACTCCCCATGATGACATGTATTTTTGGATCAAGGATTTTATAGGCCATACTAAATGGTCCACTGCCTACAAAATAAAGTATATTTTCCGGTAACGACTTTCGGTGATTACTGTAAAATAAAAGTCTGACTTTTTTTAATGGATATGAAAAGATTAAGAGAATGAGATGGGAAAGGTACCTAGTGAGCTTTTCATTTTTACTAAGAAATGGGATTTTATTTCTTTTAATATTTTGCAATGTTTATCCCCTTTTTTTAATTATTATAATATAGCATTTTTACTGCATAGTTAAATGATTATTAAATTCTTATGATGATTCCTTTACTCACATAAGCTTAACTAGCTTTTTTTCTTTTGTTCTTTGAAAATGACCCAGACCCTTATCGTGTTCACAGAAGATCTAAAACGCAACCTCATAAGTAAAATTTAATTAGATGATAAATGTCATTTGAGTCAAATGACTACAACTGATGACGATGTCATCGTAGGTTACACCACATATTTCTTGTTATTGTCATTTTGCCATTCTAATAAAAAAGCGAAACTTTAAATAAAATTCAAAGTATTAAATTAAATAATAATAATAATATATTTTATGCCAATTACTTACTCTTTGCATCAGTGGCATATATGCGGTCCAGATTTTGCCTCACTTTAATTAATTGTAAGCATTGATTTGTTCTTTTATGAGTGTTGTGTTGTGATCCAAATCTCTGGGTGTGATCTTAGATAGTTACGCACTGCCTAACACAAAACACACTTCGCTACTTGTTAAATCCAAAAGGCCAAATTTCCTTTGTCCGTGCTTCTTTGTTATCATATCCTTCTGGGCCAAATTCATAGTTTCTATGCTTTGGTTTGGAAAATTAAAAATCAGTTAAAAGAACAAAAACTGGATGATACTGGATGGACTCCATTGCGTTCCACATAACTTGAAAAATGTGTTCACTATTCACAGTTTATGAATAGTCACAGTGTCTTGAATAGGATTACCTCTAATAGGAGGATACCTATGTTTTAACCCAAAAAAAATGAATAGCACAAATTTTTTATGAGATAATATCTCCGGTCTTTAATATAAAAGTTAGTTGATTAATTTAAGTATGTAAAAAAACTAGTTAAGGTAGTTATTTATAATAAATAGATATTGTCTTTCATAAAATATCCTTATTAATCAAGTGCATTGGCTAGAACTATTATTATTACAAGGAACTACTTTAGAAAAATGAATAAATATGAGAGATAAGATAGATTCGGGTCTCATTTAAGATTAAAATAAAAGTCAAATGAACTCTTATATTATAGATAGGAAGTAGTATCAGAGATGTTTATACTGATAATAATAAATTGTTACATATGCTGAGTGTTTTGATTTTTATATACAAGGAAGAATCCTAGAGTAATATCAAACATGTTCTATTTAGTGGATCAGACAAGAGAAATTAAATTATCATGAAATATTGTCCTATCAAGGTGTATTAGACCAAAAGTCAACAATGCCGCTTTTTTTTTGAAAAAAAAACAAAAGATCAATCTGTTTAAAGGTAATAAACATTTGTCTGACCAAAAAGAAAAAAGCAATAAACATTTCACTCGCTAATGACATCCCTCTCAAAAAAGTTCGTATAAAAAGGTTTGAACTTTAATTATTATAATTGTGAAAAATCATGACCCACATTTTAATTTATTCTTATTTCCTGGTCCATGACCCAAGTAATATGATTTTACGAAAGATGGATTTAACACGCAAACAAAGTTTATACTAGTTCTGGTTTTTAATATAAGACTTTATTGATTAATTTGGAGAGATTAATAAATAGTAAATTATTTTAAAGTGTTTATATTTATCTTTTTTTTTTTAAATCAATTTAACCTAGTTATAAATTGATATATTATCTAATAATATGCATAAATATCTTAGAGAGATCATATAATATATATTATAATTAAGTAGTTTAATAATTTTTTTAATCTCTCCAAATTAATTAACTCAGTTTTATATTAAAGAGCAGAGAGAGGCGATGCATACTTAAATAGTTAAATGTGATGTCTAATATAGTATTCCGAGCAGTCTCATTGAGTCTATCCTTAAACTGATAACAACTATACATCTTTTTTTTAATTATTGTACGTAATTATTTGTATCATATTATTCGTAACTTACGGATAATATGACTTAATATATATCTTCTATTTATTATTTGGAAAAAGAAAGTATATTATTAATGCTATCTGTTGTCCTTAGTATAAAACCTATATGTTGACTAATTTCGAGATATTAAGAAAGTTAAATAAATTACTTTAAAAAATTATATTTATCATTTTTCTTCAAATTAATTTATCTAGATTATAAAATGAAATATAATTTAATGATACACATAAGTATTTCAAAAAGATCATGTAATATACTACATCATGTCCTTATATAAGAGCTAGTTAACTAATTTGAGTAGATTAAGAATACTAGTTAAGTTAGTTATTTATAATGAATAGGTATTATCTTTCGTAAAATATTTTTACTATTCGAATGTATTGGCTAGAACTACTATTATTACAAGAAATATTTTAAAATAAATAAATAAATATAAAAGACAAAGTGGACTAGGGTTATATATTTAGAACCAAAATAAAAGTCAAACTAGTTTTTATATTAAGGACAGAAGGTAGTACGCTATAATTAAGTACTATTACATATAAAATAAGTCTTATATTTAGGACTTACTTTGTTGCTTTTTAATTTTTTTAAACTAGTCAGTTGGATCTTACATGAAATATTGATTTTTGTTGTTTGATAATTCGGGCAAGCCTCATGCATTCGTTTTTTTTTTTTAAGGCGAAATATTAAAACTGATGCCCAACAGGTTTGTTGGGCCTTAAAATCCAAATCGATATTGTGGGCCTTTGGGCTTCACATTTCATGGAATCGAAAAGGAGGGGGGAAACCAAACTAGAGTGTCTTGACTTTTTCCCTTTTTTTTTTTTTTCTTTCTTTCTTTTTCGTTGGTAAGCAGATGCCAAGTCGCCCTCAATTTCGGAGTTTCCGCGATCGTTTCCCTCTTTATTCAAAAAGGTCTTCCCCGCCACCATCAACACTCATCATAAAGTTTTCCCTGAGTTTTCCGATCCCATCCAATCCCCTCTACAGTTCTACTTTCTCCAGAAACAAACGGAAAATGCCGCGAGAAATCATCACGCTTCAAGTTGGACAATGTGGCAATCAGATCGGCATGGAGTTCTGGAAGCAGCTCTGCCTCGAGGTATCAGCAAAGGCATCCTAGAAGATTTCGCCACTCAGGTTTTTTCCTCTATCTCACTAGCGCATTTGTCTGTTCTACCCTTGCTAATGATAATTCTTCTTTACAAAGAGAATGAGGGCAAAGAGAGGAATGGAATTCAATTATATGCTGCAATCTACCTGGGAATTTAAGGAGATTTGTCAATTACTTTATTATTTTAATTCAATTGGGCGAATCTTTATCAATTGCTAACGTAAAATTTTCTAAAGTAGAAGTGAATTTTAGGCTGGCCTTGGTGAAGATGCATTTAGAACTCATTGAATTCTAGTTTTTGTTTTAGCTTGATTGTTTTTTTCCAGATTGCAAACGATGAACTTGAAATTTGAACTGGGTCCATTTTGGTTCGACTGAGTCAGTGAAAGGGTTATAATGTTATACACTTTTAATCTCGAGGAAAATGATGATGGATATCCTTTCTTTCGATACTCTAATAGTCTGCTGCCCAATTAAGGCCTTCTTAGTTTCTGTTGTAATGATAGTCGTCATCCAATTTGTGGTAGGAAGTGGTGAGATGACAAGATCGGCGAGTGAAATTTCTAGCGATAAGCGTGCAAAATTATCCAACCGGGGAAGATTGATTCTGTATTTACTTATTATGTCAAAATGCTGCAGGGAGGTGATAGGAAAGATGTGTTTTTTTATCAAGCCGATGATCAGCATTATATACCACGAGCTTTATTGATTGACTTGGAGCCAAGAGTGATCAATGGAATTCAGAATGGGGACTACAGGAATCTATACAATCATGAGAACATCTTTGTCTCAGATCATGGAGGGGGAGCAGGGAACAATTGGGCCAGTGGCTATCATCAGGTTCATCACTATACTATCCTATTAGATTTGTTTTGTCCTTCGAGGCTTCTTGCCTTATGCAAAGTTCTGTAGCGTCCAAGAAGTTGTACTTCCTTCTTGACAAATATGAATAACTGAACACTGGGACTAACTGATACCAAAGGGTTGTGGTGAACTTGGAACCTAACAATGGTTTATAACTGAATATATATTTTTGTATTTTTTGGAAAGAGGACTTTCCTTTTGTTTCCTAAGATAAAAACTTATCCTGGCGTGATGACGCCATGCATTCTGGCGTTACATGAGATGTAATTGTTACACCAATGTTACGAGGCAATGGCATTTACAAGCACAGTTTTTCTTTTTCTATGAGCAATACTGATGACCTTATTATACTTAGCAGTTTTGTGTAGGCATGTCTGAAACATTTGCAAACAGTGAACTAAATACGATCCTAAAAACAACATAAAATTTAACAACAATTCTGATAACTCACTCCTTATTATATTATGAGTGTTGCAGATTAAGGGACAATATTGATGGGGATTGGCTTGTTTTGTCTTTATGCTTGGCATTCCATGTACCTTTTACCATTAATGTGAAGTACAAGTTTATTTGATGAGGTTGTTAATGTCTGGCCAGGGACAAAATGTTGAAGAAGACATAATGGACATGATTGACAGAGAAGCAGATGGCAGTGACAGTCTTGAGGGTTTTGTTCTCTGTCATTCAATTGCTGGAGGAACAGGCTCAGGTTTATTTTTCTCCCCAAATCTTTGTTCTATTTTCTTACATGTTCCTTGATTTTTCATTTTTATTATTGACGATTTTTGCATTGGTTGTATCAACAAAAGCTCAATATTGCTTAAAAGGTTGGCTTTATTTAGCACCTGGTGTAAAGTAAAAAATTATATCAGTCCAACTCTTGGGCCTGGAAATTGCACTGGACTCGCAACCATCAACTAGTTTCAACTAAAAATACATAAATGTTTGCTTTGAACTTGTTGCATAACAAGATTGAAACTTAGGAATGAGTATATTGTATACTTTTCTTGTGTATATGTTATCAAACAATATTTTTTATAACTAGTACTTTAATATATTTAAGGCAGGCATGGGATCATATCTGTTGGAGACTTTGAATGATCGGTACAGCAAAAAGCTGGTTCAGACATTCAGTGTGTTTCCTAACCAGATGGAGACAAGTGATGTGGTAGTGCAACCTTACAATTCACTTTTGACACTTAAGCGGCTAACTCTCAATGCAGATTGTGTTGTTGTTCTTGATAACACTGCTCTAAACATAATTGCTGTGGAGCGCCTTCATTTAAGCAATCCTACCTTTGCTCAAACAAATTCCCTAGTATCCACCGTGATGTCTGCAAGCACAACTACCCTGAGGTATCCAGGATATATGAATAATGACTTGGTTGGTCTCCTGGCCTCACTGATTCCAACAACAAGATGCCATTTTCTAATGACAGGATATACACCTTTGACAGTGGAACGTCAGGTGAGATCCAAGTTTTATATGTATGGTTCATGTAATCTTTTATATAAAATAATTTGTCGTGCATTCAAATGTTGGATGAAGTTGTAGCTTGCGGAGTTTTCTTGTGTTATCTCTCTTTTCCACTCCTCCTTTCATACCCACAGGGTCTGTAATTTTCAATGGAAATAAATTTGTTGGTGCTTGCTGCATAATATTTATACTTCATGTTACAAATTTAGCAGAATAAAATTAAAAATCCAATGCCATCTTCTGGCAGGCTAATGTAATTCGAAAGACCACAGTACTCGATGTTATGAAAAGACTTCTTCAGGTATGAAGACTTGAAACGGCTAAACTTCATGCCTAATGGCGTTTGCTCTGCTAACATAAATAGTATTGGCAGGCAAAGAATATTATGGTCTCTTCATATGCTCGAACAAAAGATGCTAGCTAAGCAAAATATGTATCAATTTTGAATATAATTCAAGGAGAAGTTGATCCAACACAGGTATTATTTATGACTTTTCTTGGTTTTTTTTCTTCCTGCTTGTATGGAACCTCTGTTCTCAAATCTGCAATAAATCAGTTCACCTCATGCCACTTGCTTAGGTCAAAATGTTAAACTTTTCGCTACTCGACTTTGACAAAGAAGATATTTGAAATGAAGTTTTTTTTTTTTTAAAATTTATTTATTAATTTGATGTGTTATGTAGATTTGATATCTTTGGTTTCATACACTTGGATTAGTTTAGTTCACCGTTTGACACCCAAGGAAGGGGAAGAGAGGAGGAGGGATTGGAATGAGCAAGAAATTCTAGCAACTTTTTCAGCAAATTAACGACTTTACTTAAAAATGAGCAAGTAGAGGAAACGATCCGTTCCGATTTGATTCTGGTTTCTTTGATAAGACCAGACCTTCTTGCATTTTCCTATTAGCATATTAAAATCAAATAATGATTCTTCCTCCTATGTAAGCGTAGCATTCCTAGTTTTGCTGATTTCCTCCCACTATGCTTTTTTGTGTTGCAGCTTTCCATGAAATGTTTTTTCCCCCCTGAAAGGTCAATACCATTTTTGCAATAAGTACTTTAATCCATTATGGTGCTTTCTTCCCTTTGTATTCAGGTTCATGAAAGTTTGCAAAGGATACGTGAAAGAAAGCTGGTTAATTTCATTGAGTGGGGTCCTGCAAGTATTCAGGTATTGTTTCTGTAACACAACAAGTGAGTGTTGTTGCATCTCTTTTATTTGGGATAATATGTGTCATAATCTGATTTATTTTTTCTCGTGTTTGTATGGTAGGTTGCCCTGTCTAGGAAGTCACCATATGTTCAAACTGCACACAGGGTAGGACTCTCATCCTTGTTTTAGTTTTCTTTTTATCTTTTTTATGATTTTCAGCTTTCAGCTTATCCTGAATCTTAATATTGGCTATCCTGTTAAGAATATTGAAGGAATGTGGGGTGAAATGACAACCTTTAACTGTTATGCATGATAGGTTAGTGGTCTTATGCTAGCAAGCCACACTAGCATCCGGCACCTTTTCAGTAAGTGTTTAAGCCAGTATGAGAAGCTGAGAAAGAAACAAGCCTTTCTGGACAACTACCGAAAGTTCCCAATGTTTGCTGTGAGCCAATTTTATGACCGTAATCTGATGTCACTTTATGAGCATTTGTTAGTTACTTTTTTGTTCTATACTAATACTAGCTTCATAGTCGGCATATCTTCTGAAGCTGACAATAAAAGATTGGCAGGATAATGATCTCTCAGAATTTGCTGAATCAAGGGACAATTGAGAGTTTGGTTGATGAATATAAGGCTTGTGAGTCCCCGGATTATATCAAATGGGGAGTGGAGGTAGATTCTATATTTACCTCACTTTAATCTAATTTTCTCATTTTAAGTTAATCTTGCATGTTGGTCATTTTTTCCTGTGTAGGATCCAAACAATATGCTAACAGGACAAGGCAATGCTGCGGGAACAGTGGACCCAAATTCAGTAATGTGAAGCCTAGCACGCTTTGATAAAACTGTTCTTCAGGTCTTCTTGAACTTTTATGGCTTTCTTTAACCTTCTTTAACGAGGAAGATTGAGTAACTTGCATGCCACTCCTTTAGTTCCAACAACTTGCTGACTTCTAGTTGGTTTCCTTCAAAGGAAGTAGCTTCCGGAAGGGAGAAATTTAAGTTGTGATTTTTATTTGAAACTAGATGCTCCACTGTTTTAAGTAAATAATGGGCTTAAGAAAATTTTACCCAAGCCTCCTTTTTAGTTTTCTTATACCCCCCCTTACTCCTCATCTAAATGAAGCTCCAGTGTCTAAGCTCCTTCTTGATTACTTGTTACTGAGGTGATGGGTTCGAAACCAATCATTGCAGGTACAGGGAGATCAGGAAAGGGTTTTATGTAAGATAAGTTTTAAAGGTTTTGAATGAGCTTTTTCACCGTTGCGGTATCAGACTTAACCATTTGGACATCCACGCATGCGTGACTGGGTGGTACAGAATCTCACTGTATTCTTTTGCCATCTGGATCGGGGGTGTTTTACTAGGGTGTCCTGCTGTTGCTTCATGATGAATCTTACAAAACTCAAATTTCGAAAAGGAATTCGGTTTTGTTTATCATGTGGCAAATCTAGCATTGCATGTGTTAGCATAGTTCTCTGTTATATTGTCCCCTAGCATGGTGGGTCCACTGTGGTTGGTGCTGAAAATTCTTAATGTATTAAGCAGCCAAATTCTTAATACGAAAAGGTACCGACCCTCTGTTTTAAGTAACGCCATTATCAGTAGTTCTGCAGAACAACAGTCCAATATAAAAACAATAAAAGTTGTCTTATGTGTATATATATTGGAATTCCCAAATTCCTGCAGATTTCAAATGTAGTTTTCTGAAGTCTAAAATTGTCATGTGAATGTACAGGTGTTAAATAGGTGTTTAAAGGGCACCTATTGTCAATATCCCAAGATGTGAGGTGAGAACATTCCACGTTGCTTGTTAATCGTTGTATTCTCATCGATCCCATTGAGTGGTCTCAATTTTATTGGGAATTAAGATAAATGGAGAAATTTTAAAATTTTGAATAGCTATTTTAGTCGTTTTTCCCCTTCATAGAGTTGGCGTTTTCACTTTCAATGCTGATTTGTAATCCAGTCAGATGTGAGATGCATCGCATGGTGATTTCGATTCATAATTCCTGTGAAATCAAATCGAGCAAATAGGCAGGCTGTCCTTTCAAGTATGGTATTGTAAAGACAAGTTTGGATATGGTGTAGGGCATTAGGGGAGTCACGAGCGTGAGCCTGAATGGGCTTTCATTCATGATGCCAATACCTGTATTTCGGTTCCATGATCCGCCACAAGGTTCATTCAGCATTCAACATTCAACAGATAGAACGACCATGTCACATGGGAATTGTGGTGGACACTTAGAGATGATGAGACTCTATCCTATTGTGTTCCACGTAGAAAATACAGAGGCATTTTTTTTTTTTTGGTTAGGTTTATCAGGACTCATGATAATTTAGTTCAGTTGTCTCCTATTTGTAAATCATAATTTGCTATAAAGTTTATATTTCATATTATAGTAATTAGATTGATATTCATGTGTTTTTTAACATCTTAATGTTCTTTAAGCAATGGCTCCCACATATTCCTTCCAGAAATACAAAATTGATTTGCTAAACCCGTGAATTACATAAAATACATTTAAAATTTAAGGAAATGTCAAATAATATCATAGGGAAAAAAAATTAGGGTCAAAAGCAAAACAACTAGACTACATTAAAAGTAAATTTAATATTTAATAATTTAAAATACATTTATATTAAAAATAATGTTATAATTGGAAAACTCCAACAGTAAAGATATTGGGAGATCTAAAGAATATGGAAACAAATTGAAAGGAAGAAACAATTTTGAACCCGCCACGATCCCACATGGCCTGGCATGTTTAGTTGCAACTTGCGGTGCGATTCAAGAAGGGACGTGCGGAAGTGGTCCCATGGCAACCAAGGTTAAACAATAGACTCAACCCTCACCTTGATATTTACCTACCACCTTCCCTCTTTTTTCTATTTATATTTTCAATAAAACCCTTCTTCTTCATCGTCGCCATCGCTCTCACACTGCAAATCCCTCAGCGTCTCCAAATCCAAATCCAAATCCAATGGCATCGTTGAGAGCATTTCTCGTAGTTTTAAGTCTTTTATTTGCCATTTTCTCCGTTTCTGTTGTTGTTGGTGAGGCGCAATCCCTCTCTCCTGCCGCTGCTCCTTCTCCTTCCAGTGATGGTATTTCTATTTCTCTTCTCTGATCTGTTCTTCAACTTCTTCAATGCTTTCTCACAGTTTGATCCATTAATCATTGCTTTCTCATACTTCACTTTTTCGCTTCATTCCTTTGTACAAGTTCACTCCGTCTTCGGTTGAACGTCTTCTGAAGAATTTGAAACTATTTTCAGTCATGGATTTTGACTTATCTCTGGGCCTTTGTTGGGATTTTGACTTCTTGTGAATTATGGTTTCTTATAAATACTATTCGAAGGAAGTTTTATAAAATGTAGTGTTAATTGAAAGAAAGAAAAAAAAAAACTTTTGAATTTACTATGTCTCTTTACTTCTCAATTCGTTTATATATTTTTTTCCCGCCAACCATATATAATTTATTTGTTGATATAATTTTGTTCATATTGTTTGTGAATTCAGGAACGGCCATAGACCAAGGGATTGCATACTTCTTGATGCTTGTGGCTCTGATCCTCACATACCTCATTCACCCCCTTGACGCCTCTTCCTTCTTTTGATTACTTTGTATCTCTCACTTTCTTAGTTAATTTTAACATTTTTATCCCTTTATGGGCTGCCAAATTATTTTTTGGTGGCGTTAATTTTCATATTGATATTAGTCTGTAGTCTTTATTATTATTATTTATATGATAATTAGCTAAACGGGACTTCTGCGTGTTGTAGGCAATTTTTTTTTTTTTTGGCTGCATAACGATTGTTCAAATTGCTCACACTCCACCCATAATTGTTCCATTCGAAATTCATGATCAGATTGCGCGCGCTCTACCCTGTAGCTTATAAACATGAATTAACATTTTACAAACAATAACAAGAAGCCTTATCTCATTATATGACATCGGCTATATGAATTACACAATATCTTTGTCTTCTATCAACAATTAGATCCTTAAATATAGGTTGTTAACCAAAAGATTCCATTCACAGAATAAAGAAATAAATATAAAAATAATATATATGTGATTGGTTCTGCCACGGCCCGTTCTTGACTGATTCTCAGTCTCCTGCTTCCCTATTAGTCTATTGCTTTTGGATATTGCACCAGTTTCCAGTTCAACCAGTAGGCCCAATTTGGCCCAATTTGAAGTATTGGACTGGGCACCTAAGGTCACCAGGCCCATACACACTTTAACTGCCGAGAAATCATGTTCATAGTTAACCTTTTTGGGGGAGGGGGCATTGAATTAAAAAAAATCTATGCAAAAAATTCTACACCCTTACATTATATACTTATGGCCAAAAAAATAACAGAGGAAGTCTGCATATATCGAGAAGAGAAAGAAAAGTTGAAGTACAGGTCATTCATTTAGAAAAGAAATTAAAGAAGAAAAAAACTGTAATAATACAATGTATGAAATATCTTTGAAGCAAAACAATCAAATAAATTACACACATATCCACGATGTAACAAAACTCGAATCTAAACGAGTGCCTCGTGTCAAATATGCCTATATAATTCTCCCCAAAAAAAAAAAAAAGTATTGATGGAGATCACCCTCTTCCTTTGAAAACATCAAGGTGGCTATTCGGAATGTTTCTGATATCTATGCTTGATCTGCAATATTGAGGCCTTCTTCTGCAGAAATACACTGTGGAGGAAACAGTAATGGAAGCTGCTATGACTTTAGCAGCTCCTCCAATTACTCCCTGCCACGTTTCTGGAAGAGGAAACAGAAATTTCATGCAACAAAGTAAGAAACAGTTGGTTTTCTTCTTGTTCAATCTCCAACCAGCAAAAGCAGATCTTCCATTGCCAAAGCTTGAATTCAATTCATTGATCACGCTATGTGGCTTTCCCCCATAATCTGATACTTTCTCCATCAGAATTGCTCTGCTTTCTTCTACCTGCTTCTCTGCAACCTGCCTGTTTATAAAGTGCCATGCCCTCATTTTCTGCGCTTCACAGGTACATTAACAATGGAGTGATGAGTGAATGAAAGAGAAAGCAGTGATGGGTTTATTATGAAGGGAAGAAGACGAAGTTGTAGTAAATGGGGTTACCTGCAAGTGAATGAGCATGTCTTCGACTTGTTTTAAAGAATCTCTCAGGCCAATCAATCTCTGGGTTTCTTCATCAAATATTAATGGCGCATCTGCAAATTTGCAGAGCCATTTCTCTTCATCTTCTGAACAGCAATACTTATTGCAGAAGCCCACAGAAGTGTTGTTCTTCTTCTTCTTCTTCTTGGGACTGTTGATTTCTTCATTTACTTTCTCCTGCAAATCGCTTGCCCTCTCTATCAGACTCTGCAAATCTGAATTCATCTTCTCCTTCTAATTCATTTAAGAACCCCACCGCTTAAATCAATGAAATTAAACCGCCAACCCTCTGTTTCATTTCTTTCTTTTCAAGTTTGGGATATTATTATTGTTGCCAGCTTTCACTTTTCTTTTCTGTCTACTGCATACATCTTGCTTTTCTCTACTTTATTATATCTAGGACGCCACTATATAGTATATACCCTGTTTCCATGCTTCTCATTTCTTTGTTCCCCGCCCCCCCGGTTGTGCAGCTCTATATATTTTTTTTTAATTTACCAGAAAAAAAGTCAGTTGAATCCTAAAAAATTGAATACAACTTCTCATTAAATGGACATGAATTGTACAATTTTAAGTGAGTAATCTTTTTTTATGAACCAATGTTCTTTCGTAATTTAACATTATTTGATTGGGTCGTTTTAAAAAATAATCTTTTGTATATCAAATGGCTTAATTGTTTGAAAAACTTAATAGATCAAATTATTGAATAATACCCCTCATTCTTCAAAAGGTTTGTGGGGCAAATTGCTGTAAAGCCGTAAGCAAAAAACATAATTAAAAAAATTCAATAATAATAGAGCAACTTGTAATAATAAATTTAAGTATAGAAAATGACAACTTCTCACTTATTATTATTGAGACTATTTTTTTTTACAAGGCACTTCATTCAAATTCTTCTGTTTTAAATATGAAAAGTACCGCCTAATTTGTTTATTCTTTTCTAAGAAGGCTCAGTAACAACATCCATAAAATTGTATAACTAATACATCGTTGATAAAATATATGTATACTCTTCCAGTCCTAAATATAAGACTCTTATACATACTAGTATAAGGGTCTTATATTTAAAACTGAAGGAATATATATATATATATATATATATATATATCCTTTTCATTAGGTGAGGTTTGATAGGAAGATGAAGTTGCTTGGTGCTTAGCCGTCGTGAACCCCACAAACTGAAGCCAACATCCCCTAATGATGCCTCTTTATATGAATAACCTAACATGTTCATGAGGTGTACTCATATGTGGCTGCATGTGTTGGCTTTCACAAGTCTAAAGTATTGCACATATTTATTTATTTTGTTAAATTCAAACAAAATTATATAAATGAGTCTCACATAAATAAATCCTCACAACAGAACAAAAAATTCTCCTACTTTTACACGACAAGAATGATTTTTAAAAATATATAATTAAAAACGATAACGATAGCATAATAAAATGCATGTCCTAAATATAATGTCAAGGCCATTAACGGTGGGCAAATTTCTCTATTTTTTTCTCCTCTTGGCAATATTCTCCCCATCTTTTTTGATAAATAATTAATAAATAATAGTCATTGCATCATAATAATCTCTTGATTTCTATGCTTGTGCGCATATTTTAACTTGAAATATCCGGTTGTAATATAGAATTTATAAAAAAAATTTGATATTATACATAAACTTTAAATAATACTCCTCCGGTCCTTATTATAAGACCCAATTTGACTTTTTATTTGGTTCTAATTATAAGACCCCAATCCATTTTATCTCTTATATTTATGCATTTTTTCCAAGATAATCCTTCTAATAATGATAGTTTTAATCAATATACTTAATTAGCAAAGATATTTTAGGAATGACAACACTTATTTATTATAAATAACCAACTTAACTTACTTCCTTAATCTCCTCAAATAAATCAATTGGGTCTTATAATTAGAACCGGAGGAGTACTACTTATCATGGACAGCATATTGTGCTTTCATATATCATAAATCTGCATAATAATATTTCTTTTGTATCTTTTTGACTAAGTGCTTTAGCAATTCCTTCTCCCCATTTCTTCTTTATTAGCCTTCTTTTTCCTTCTCTTCTACTTCCATTGTCTCTGGAGTGTCCAGTATAAGGAGACACGCGACTCACATTATTCTTTTTGAAAAATTATATGCTTGTGATCCTGGAATTATGACAAGTGGATTCCCTGTATTTGCAAGAAACTCAACATCAACTATATTTTTCCAATCCTAATGTTGTCCTTTATTTGTATGTTTTTTGTTTAATATTATTAATATAAATAGATCATTTTTTAATTAAAAAAAGAAGAAGAAGAAATATACTATCTCCGGTCCTAAATATAAGAGCTAGTTGATTAATTTGAGTAAATTAAGAAAACAAGTTAAGTTAGTTATTTATAATAAATAGGTGTTGTCTTTCCTAAAATATCCTTATTGGTTAAAACTACCATTATTAGGGACTATATTGGAAAAAAATAAATAAATAGGAGAGATAAAGTGGATTTGAGTCTTATATTTAATACCAAAATAAAAATTAAATAAAATCTTATATTAAAAACAAGAGCTAACATTATGCAAGATATGACTCGCCATGTTACCAAAAACTCGTCACGGTGAATAAAAACCATTTTTGGGACATTTGTGCAGAAACACCGTATGTCACCCCTAGCTTCACAAAAATTCATTAAAAAGAGTCACGAGGAGGCCCAAATCATATAAATGGGCCTAAGACCATTACACAACTTTTTGGGTTAATGAATGGGCCCTACGGTAAGGCCCAAACGTCTCACCGTCAGCCCCTAATGCTGGGCCAATAACGCATTTTTCCCAACCAGCAGGGCAATGACAATCTTAACCAAAAGGCAACAAAATAATTATCTACGTGCTTCGTTGGGCCCCATAATAATGCCGAACAGAAAATTTATCAGAACCAGAAGCGCATAATCTGTTCCCTCCCCATCCAAACGATAAATTGAAATAACGTAATATTAGCACGAGACCATCCCCATTCATTTGAAACAGAAACAGCGCTCTAGTGGTTACCCCCCCCCCCAAAAAAGGGGGGAAAAAGAAAAGAAAAGGCCCTCTAGTGAATTGGGGGGTAGGTGAAATGGGCCTGGTGGACCCTACACGTCTTGGGGGAGACCATGTGTCAGGAATCAAGCAACACGCTCCATTAAAAAATGATGGTATTTCTTCTGGGGTTGATAGCCATACAAGATTTCATTGGCCCACTAGGGCCCATTAGGATATTAGATGGGCTCAAACCCACAGGACTCCTGACTTGATCATGAAGCCACCTAGCTTTCGCATGATCTATCACCTCATCACCTCTTTTCAAGTTAGTGAATTCCTCAACTTGACATACCCAAGTTTAAATTCCAGTCAGAAGAGATGCTTTACCTTTGGAACAGCTTGAATATAATTAACTCTAGTAGAAAAGTACATGCCCTTTTTTTTTCCCTTATTTCATACCATTAAACACACGCATGCGAATGCTCGTTTCAAGTCTAGAACCTTATTCGAAAGTGCTGTCACTTGGATACTTAGGGGGTGTTTGGATAGAAACCAAACCATGGTTTTAGAAGTGTTTTTACGGATTACGAAGTAAATATGTGGAGGAGGTTACCTCGTTTTGCGGAAAAATGATTTTGAAACCTAGGTTTTGATTTTGCCAAACACCTTTTTAGTGGTCACTTGTGAGGACCCATCTCATCTCGTGTGCCTCTTTTTCTTTTCTTTCGTTGGTGATTTTCTTTTTTGGGGGTTGGAAAGCGTTCAATGAACTGAAACGATAATAAATGGCATGTCGTATTGGGTCTGACAAAGCGAGGGTGGCAGGGGAGATGCGAAGCTGGATCCCTGTTGGAGGGGCAGGCCCCCCCTCTCCTCTGCTATTGCCGTTTATCGACGTCTGCTCGCTCGTTTCAACGCTGCTCAATCATCTGTGATTATTTTTAATAATATTTATTACGTAGTATCATTCTAAATGCAAAATCTTATAGTAGTAAATTCTAAATATTAGTTTCTGATTTAGAATGAAGAATGAGTAATTTTAACATGTGGCTGGAAAAGGGTGGGGTGTCAGGGCAAGTTGGATGGCTTCTCTGCTATTCTGCCCCCGACACACTTCGACCGACAGCCGCTCGTACGTAGCATCCTTCAGTTGTACTGCAAAAGCGTAAGCCTCCGAATATGGCTCTCTCTCTTCTTTCTATTCCAATACTCAAAATCTGGAAACTACATTTCACTTCTCAAAACAAAGCTACTATTATTCTTCAAATCAAAAACTCACTGGCGTTTTCAAATACTATACGCAGGTCTTCTAATTAAGTTTCATCTCCTGGATACAACTTTGCAACCCAATGAGAAACCTGAAGTTCTCACAATGTCGTGTTTTTAAATGCCAGGAAGAGCCTACCTTGATTCATAAACACGGTTCATTTAAAGAGTGTTTGGGTAAGATCAAAACCATAGTTTCAAAAGTGTTTTTACAGTATACGAAGTAAATATGTGAAGGAGTTTGTCTCGATTTGTGAAAAAGTATTTCTGAAAAGTGATTACGGGAATATCCAAACACCCTCTTATTTTATTTTTGTCGTCCACAACAGATCTTTGCTGCCACTACTTAATTTTCTTAAAGAGAAAACAATGAAAAAATCTATAAGCTCAAGTTTTTTAGGTCTATGGTCAATAATATTCCCACCAATTTTTTTTTCAATTTATTCTTGCAGTGCCTGTATATGGGAATTCTATTTTGTTTTGGATAAAACAAGAGGTCAGGTTAATTGTTATGCAGGTGTTTCTGTGAAGGCCACCAATAATAGTAAACAAAGGAGTAGTCATGGCCATCTACTTCTGGATTTAAACAGACAACAAACATTTGATTCATTCAAAGTAGCCAGAGACAAAAAAATTTATTAAAAACAAAAAAAAAGGTTGTGCGCCATTTATTTACACTCTTACTGTGGTAAATTACAAATTTATTTTTGATGCTGTTACTGCTGAGAGATGAGGTACAAGGGAAGAGCAGGGAATAAATGTAAAGCTGGGGGACACTTTTTCAAACAAAAGACAGTGATGCAAGTTTCTCTGTGATTTTTGAATGTCATGGTCTGAAAGATACACATGCATCAGACAAAGGCTCTGCTAAATCTGCAAATCCTCCAAGTTGTTGTCCTTTTCTTTTTCTTTTTTTTTTGTGACCAACCCCAAACTTGCATTTAGCTATACGTATCCGTCACGGGCCAACCCTTCCCCTTATTTTCCCCCGTAATAAATGCAAAAAAAGGAGCGAGCAGTTGTTATTTTTTTGTGACCAACCCCAAGGTGCTTTTCTTTCTTTCTTTGTTTTTATTTTTTTGTTGGCCAACCCCAAGCTTGCATTTACATAGACAAACACACACGTTTGTGCGCTATATGTATGTGTAAAGGACAGTAAGACCCTTTCCGTGCGTCCTTTCGAGGGACAACGCCGTGCAGCTGTCCGTCAAGGGCCAACCCTTCCCCTCATTTTCCCCCTGTAACAAATGCAACCGGAAAAAAAAAAAAGAAGAAGAGATTCTGTTTTGGTTCGCTGAAAAGAAAAATATTGAGTTGAAGCCGGCGGTATATACATATAATAAAAAGGGGAATTAACTCTTATCTAAGAGAATTAAATACCAAAAGGTCATTTGAAATAATCAAATTAATCTAAAATTTTAAGAGATCTCATTGTAAGGGATTTTATTTGTTTAATTAATAATTTTTTTTTGTAATATGTATTGACAACTAAAAAAATAGTCATTAACAACTTAATACGTATCATAAAAATGTAATACATAAGTTGTGAATATCAGTTGCGGTAATTATTACAAAAAAACAAAAACAATTTGGTAGTTAAATAAATAAAATCTCCCGTAATGAGATCTCTTGAGACTTTAAATTAATTTAATAATTTTAAGACACTTCTTTGTATTTAGTTCTGTTAAAGGGGAATGATTCAAGAAGAGGAAAATAGAAGAAAGAGGGGTAACACGTTGAAATGGTCCATCGCATGCGGGCTCTGCTAAAATTATATATTTTGCCTCCGATCCTAAATATAATATTCACTTTGTGGTAAGATCGAAGAGAGTATATCATTATCAAAGCGTAGTGCTAATAACGGAGGTGGAGAAAAATAGAGAAAGAGGGTGGTTAGAGGGTGGGAAAGTGGTGGCTCCCAACTAGCTGGCACTGCCCTGCTTTGTGTCTAGGAAAAAACAAGAGGAGGCTCACACAGGGATTATTAGTGCAGAGTCATGCTCCATGCTCTCTGCCGACAAGTATTATTACTGTATTAGTCTCGGGGATCAACCTTCCCTGTGACTCTCCACGTTACGACATCTCTGGGTTCCACATATCTTTAATGCCCACGACAACCTTAGCTCGTCTTTCTTATTACGGGGATTCTGCAGAATAACCATGTTGCATTACAATTACGAGCTTCATTAACCAGGTAGTAGTTGCAACATCGTACAGTAGGATTTTATTGTTGAAACCCCATCACTCGATTTAAAGCAAGTTGGAGCAGCGCATAACCTTTCTAATCACCAAGTAGCTAGACTAGGGCCCAATGAGCATACTAATATTCATGATTAGGGATCAACAAGTGAATAATGAATCCATTTTTTTGTCAATTTCTAATATCATGAGCATTGGAACAAAATCTTCAGACCCACCCAACTCCTGGAATTAAAATCTGCAGATAAGTAAGTGAAAGAAGGAAAGCGATACTTAGGCCACTGAAACCACAAGAGAACATATATAAAGGCTGTCCGCGATAAAGAAGGTTTGACCCTCCTAAAGACGAAGATGCAGCATGTGCGGCTGTCAAGTGCCAAAGGTGGCAAACCGTAGATCGTGAAATAGTGAAAACAATTCTGCTTTTATCTCTCTCTCTCTTCTCTCTCTCTCCTCACTTCGCTTTTTGGCACATGTCTATCCCATTCCCTCACACAAAATATCTATCCCTCCCACCAAACCCATCCTTTTTTCGTTACGCACCAACCCCATCACCCCGCACTATTTGCATTACTTCCGTAATCATCACCTTTTTCCGATCTCCATTCATTGCATTAACATCAAAATTGCTAATCACTTTACTTAACAAAAAGCCCCCAATTACAAAACCGTACCTTCCAAATCAAAATACATTAACACCAAAACTTTTTCTTACAGAACAAAAATTAATTTCCAAATTTAAAAAAAAAAAACTCATCGCACCATGCTCATTTTCTTTACACACTGCAGAAAAACATCGAACTTCAGTCTAGTTCATCGCTGTTCAATCCTCCCCTGTTAACTTCGCCTTCGGATGATGATTTAGTTGTCCGTCTCAGACCCAGTTCTCAGCACTGTCTTGCTCTTGAAAGTAGCTGTCTACGTCCCATTTACAGGATTCAAAATCTTGATCAAGATGGAATGGACTGTCTCTGAAATTTAAGTTATCATTTGATGTGAACTGGTCGAAGAACATTGGGAGAGGGGCTTCACACTCTGAATATCGGGTAGAAAATGGAGAATCTAAGAACAATAAATTACTGTCTCGAAAATATGACTCTGCTTCTGCTTCTCTGGGCTCTGTTTTGGGTTCTTCTAGAGGCTGAAACCTCAGGACAGAGGTTGGGGAAGAGGCACGAGGCTCTTTAATCAAGACAGTGTTGTTCATTGAGGTTGATTCGGATTCCTCGACGGGTTCGGCAGTTTCAAGCGGTGGTTGGAGAATATTTGTGGTGGCATTCGGACCTTTAATACGGATAGCTGCCCTGTCGTACGACATGGCAGCCTCTTCCGCCGTGTCGAAAGTGCCCAGCCACAGCCTTTGCCTACTCGTCGGATCTCTGATCTCCGCCGACCACCTGCCCCAGGGACGCAGTCGAACACCGCGGTACTTCTTGACCTTCCGCTCGACCTGGTTGGACTTTTCAGGTAGGGCCTTACCGGAGTTGTTCCTGTACCTCTGCTTGGAAGAAGAGGTATTCGTACCTCCTCCATGAGCCTCGCTGTTCGCTGAGAAATTGGAGCATTTCTCAATTCTGATTTCGTTAACGAGCCTCCTCGTTCTTCTGGGTTGGAAGCGTTCATCTTCGTCATCGCCGCTTGAGGTGTCAGTCGCGTAGTGATCGGTGACACTGATCCGAACAATCCTCGGAGCTCCATTGAGAAACTCCGATTTTACAAACTTGTTCGTGATTATCTTAGTTTCTTTCATAGTGAAGAAGAAGAAAGCAGTAAAATTTGCGCATCAATGGCGAAATAAAGAGGAGCCACGGGAGGAACGAGAGGAAAGGAGAGTCGAGGAGAAGTAGCAGAGTCAAAACGCAAGAATCGCGAGTATATATACTAAGAGGATCTTTTATTTCACACTGCAGATTTGCGGGATTTATAAAAATTTTAGGAAGGTTCATTAAGAAAGAAAGTTTACTAATTTAAACTAGCGTTGCTGTTAAATTTCAAAAAAAAAAAAAAGTGAAAATAGGAATCTTAAAGGGGGACCAAGGCGCGGATTCCGGTGAGTCCGATGCATGCGACTCGCCGCATTTGCGAATAAAGCCGTTCCGCCATACGACATGTGGACTGTTTGGCCCGGTAAAAGTGTCTGTTTTCTCTTTCTATTTTTCCCCCCAAAATATCAAACAATTTGGCAAAAAAGTGGTAGTATGTTTTAATTTTAATTATTACAGTTTCTGACTTTATTATTATTATTACTGATTTATTTTATTTGAAACCTTATCAGGTATAACTTAAAATTTTTTTTAACTTGATTTCTTTCATGATATGACTATGTTATTCATTTTAACCATTTGTTCATCCATTTGAATCTAAACAGTTAATTTGTCATTCTCTTTCTATTTTTATACCTGGTAAAAGGGTCTGTTCTTCCTTCCTTTCTTCTTTTTTTGTTTTTGTTTTTGAAAATAATATACTTGTAATACTTGGTGTCCAAGTCATGTGATGGCATTCCAACTAACTTGTTGTTCATTAATACTATATATCACTACAATTAAAGATACACAAAATCAGATAAAATAATACTAGCATTTCATTTAATAACGTGTGAGTTGTATGGGAGTACGTACATTTCGAACGAGAAGTTGACCGTGCTCTGTGCTCATTTAATTTCAATTGAAGGATATAAGTACACCTCAATTAACCACTCAGGTTAAAAAACAGCGCATGTTAACTTTTTTAAAATAAAAGTATACCCAATACTCTCATCTGTTTTTTTTTTAAAGTGTACACAACACTCTAATTTTTTAATGGTATAATTTTATTCATGGTTTATCAAATTTGGTGCAATCCCGCCTAATTTTCAATTTTCTGATGCGTATATAAAAATTGTTAATGATTTAATAAAAGAAGCCAAAATTATTAATTTCAACTGTTCATTTGAATATAAGAAAAGGAGTGATTAAGTAAACAAAGAAATTGATACTGCACCAAATTTAAAAAAACCACGAATAAATTTGTAGATGTAAATGAGAAATAATATAAAAATATTTGATGCTGCTTTTTCCTTTTTCATACGTATACAGTATTACATGCTTTTAGCAGAAATATATGTTGCATGTTTTAGCATGGAGACCCGGCGGGTTTTGTAAAAGCAACGGGAGTGTATTACTCCTCTGATTTTTAATATATGATTCAGTTATTAAGTTGATTTTGATTCTAAATATAAGACTCATTTATCATATTTATCAATTTTCTTTAAATTACCCCTTTAGATACTCCGTCAACCATAATCAAATAGAAGAGGGAGATGGGGTATTAAGAAAGATGATTATGGTATTTTAGGAAAAATGTGTCACATTTCTTATAATTAACTAACTTACCTAACTTCCTTAATCTAATCAAATTAGTTAAATGGGTTTTATATTAAGGATCGGAAGAATACAATAAATTCAACACAACTTAATCTTGGCCCAAAAAAAAAGTCAACACAATTTAATATTTCCTTGCTTTATTTATCAGTTTCAAATTTAAAGAGGTATGTGATCTACTCTTTACGGTCTTCGTCTTATATATGAGTTCCAATAAGCTAATCATGTTTAAAGAACTAACAACTAAATTAGTTTAAAATAATAAATAGGCTATAAATATTTTTTTTTCAAATTTGTATTTATTTATTAAGAGAATAAATGAGAAAGGCAATAAATGAAAAAAAAAAGAAAAAGAGAATATATGAGAGTAATATTAATTAGATACAGAAAGTACTAAATGCAGTTAACTAAAAACAGAATAGGAAAAAAAAGTAATATATACTCAAACAAACTCAAAAATGAAGTTTATATTTTGGACCAAAGCCCTCTCTCAAAATAAAGCTCGCATATAGGACTAGAAGAGCGGAAGAAATATCTTATAAAATTCAATTTAGAGTTTATCTAAACATTTAATGTATTTTTTAATTTTATTATTAGTTTTATTTTTTCCTCATTTGTCATACTCTTTTATTACATTTCTCCATACATTTTTTTATTCTTTTTCTCATTTATTATAAAGACATATTTAAAACTAAAACTATATTATTTTTAAGTAACTAATTGTTTATTATTAATAAATTAGTTATTTAAAATTCATAATAAGTAAAGTAAATTATCTCTCCTAAAAATAATTTGTTATGCCTTGCCGTCCAAGTAATACGTCATTTTTGGTAATTGACATAACTTTGGAAAGTGAACAAGTGAGTTATGCAAAATGATTGATTGGCTTTTTTAAACATGCGTCGTGTTTAAAATTTTCATTTAATTAATCAATGATGTTTCCATCTTATTTTTCAAATAAAAAATACTACATCTACTTCTTAATATAAAAACTCATTTAATTTTTATTTTAATTTTAAATATAAGATTTTGAATTCACTTTGTCTCTTATTATTTTATTTTTTTTAAAGTAGTTCCTATAATAATGGTAATTCTAACTAATATACTTAATCAGCAAGGATATTTTAGAAAAGATAACACATATTTATTATAAATAATTAACTTTTACTAATTTTTTTAATTTACTCGGATTAATTAACTAACGATTGTATTAAGAATCAGAGGTAGAACAAGGTTCCTGTTATTTTTAAAAATTTTGCTGCGTTATTGTCCAGTTCTGCAATTACAAATAAATGCTGGTTGTTTGCTTTTTTTTTTTTTAAATCAAACGATTAAATATTTAAATCGTGTGATTTTGATTCTGATTTGATCATAACTTAATCTTTAAATTTTTTAAGCATAATTTTTTTTTAAAGTTTTGATTATTTAATTTGTTGATCCATATACAAATGACTTGGTTATGGCCCGGTTATTGTAGAACAATAAGAATATTTGAAATTGTAAGAATCGATGTATTGATGGCTAACCCAATATCATTTGGTCTAGCCACAGGTCAAATAAATCACAGAGTGAGCAAATTAATATTTGAATCTTACTTTGGTCCAATAATTTATGGCGGGAAACCGCCCTAATTGCACCTGAATTGGATTTAAAAAAATGTGCGGGACAACGGGTGGCCTGAAAGGTCAATAAAAATAAAAATGCAATATAACCAACACAACGTAGATGTGATCTCCAGTTTCAAATGATGTGATCGAATATGAGTTGGCACAAAAATGCAATATTACATTCACTATTCAATATAAGATTGATATTTAATTTTATTGTAAATATGAGATTTAATCTATTTCATATTTTATATTATCTTTTTTTAAAAAATAGTTATTGTAATAGTTATATATCAAAGGTTTCATGAAATGATAGTTTTAACTAATACATGATTGTTAAGAATATTTTAAAAAAAAAACACCTATTTATTATAAATAATTAACTCAACTAATTTTATTAATATATTCAAATTACTCAATTAATTTTTATATTAAGAACCAGAGATGGTATGAAGCAATTGAAAATGAAAACTGTAAGAAGTCGTGGAAGTAAGGAACTCTGGTCAACCCAGTAAGACATGCCCAACAGACCAGAACAAGTAGTTAAGTAGTGATATGAAGACAACTTAAAATGTTAATGGCTCTAAAGGTATCTATCTTTAACCCGACACAGTAGATTCACACAATCTCACAGTGATCATGGAGGGAAAACACAACACTATTTAAAAAACAATTTTTAACGAACATTCTACTTTCATGAATATAAAAGCCTGGTAAAATGTTTGTTTTGATTTTAAATTAAATGTAAGTCCCAATTGCATACGTTTAAAAAGAGATTGTCATTAAGAAATGTAACTCTTAATACAAATGATTAAATCAACGGGATATTTTTAAAAAAATAACACATTTTTTTTCTGAATTTCTGAGCGAGTGGTCGTTAGCCAAATTGCACCACTATCAGCACTCCCGGTACAATTGTGTTCAGCCTTATTGGACGCAGCAATGCATTCTCAAATATAAAACTCGCCTATTCTGCCCGCCACCTGCTACTATTACTTTATTACTTTCTGTGTGAATTATAAAATTTTATTTATAAACTATAAATAAATTTTTATAATTAAGATTGGAGTAAGTATTTTGTAAGAAAAATTACTATAAAGTTTCTTTTTTAAAAATAAACTATACTTATTTCACCAAAAAATGCTATATTTTAACATCTCAAATTTATAAAGCAGAATGCGAGGACAAAATCCTAGATTGTCGATAAACAATACAATAACAAGATTAGCCACGTCTGTGGTTATTTCATACTGACTTGTTAAAAAAATATTGATACCCCTCTTATCCTAAATACTGCTTCGAGTACTTAATATAAAATCTTATTTAACTTTTATTTTGATCTTAAATATCATCCTCCAATCTACTTTATCTCTCATATTTATGTATTTTTTTTCAAGATAATCTTTCTAACAATAGTAGCTATAACTAATGCACTTGATCAGCAAGGATATTTTAGAAAAGATAACACATATTTATTACAAATAACTAACTTAACTTCTTTTCTTAATCTCCTCAAATTAATCAATTGGCTCTTATAATTAGGACCGGAGATAGTATAAAAGCTAGTTGACTAATTTGAGGATATTAAAAAAGTAAGTTGAGTTAGTTATTTGTCCTAAATAGGTGTTGTCTTTCCTAAAATATCCTTACTAATCAAGTGTATTAACTAGAACTATAATTATTAGAAGGATTATCTTGGAAAAAATTGAGTAAATATGAGAGACAAAGTGGATTGAGATCTTATATTTAAAACCAAAATAAAAATTAAATAAGATTTTATATTAAGAATCCAAAATAGTAATTAGGACCACAAATAATATAAGACTTTTATACTACCTCCGATCCTAA